ACTAAGTGCACTTACAGCCTCAGTAAGAGTTATTTCACATTTCTGTTACCGTAAATCTACATTCACTCCAGTCACGACTTGGGTAGAAAATTATCCCTGGCCCAGAAAGAATTTGGTGTTCCTTTCTTTTTATGAAGAATCCACAGGAAGATTTTCATTAGGGGCTTTAGGTGAGGGAAAAATGAAAATTACAGATTGGTAGGGAAAGAGAAGGGGATGGGAGACAGAGGGAGAGTAATGAGAAAGAGAAGAGAGGGGAAGAAGGATGTCGCAGCTGACAGGGAGGGGAGCCAAGCAATAAGTACAGCACATATAGCCAATGTGCAGAGATAAATGATGTAATATCTGCATGGATCGATGTCGGTACTGTCCCTCTAAAAGGGGCTCTCTCTATAAATTACTTCACCATCCCTCCCCCTTAAAGTGCACACACACACACTGAGATACACACATTTACACCACAGATGCACACAAATCCACACACTCCACAGCTATCTCAATTAGTATGAATGAAGATGTATGGCTGTAAAGTCTCTGTGTCTCACGACCGCTATGTAAATGTCTTCTTGCAGCTGTCCGGTCCCATCACTGTGCAGATGGTAGGAGGAGGCAGGGAGGAAATCAATTTGTTAAGATAGCACTATCCAGCTAATGAGAAATCAAGTGGCTTGACTTTTCACATGAATCCCATCATGTCCACTCATATTATGAAACTAAGATGTCATTAGTTGCACTTAGTGTGACTAATAGTCCAGTGGAGTTCTTGTCCTGTATCTTTGCTGACAGTCCCACCTTGTGGTAGGTGAGAGAATTACACTTAAATGAAACATAAGTAGGGGCAGATGTCTTGTTTTTGCTCCTGTACTGACAAATTTCAACTTTTAATTAATTTTTTTGTGAAACAAAATAAAAAAAGATGTGACTTCAACAGAAGTAGTTCAGGCATGAGCTTTGTCTCTCTTCATTTACTGTGAAAAAAAACAAAAAAACTATAACTGAGGTAATAAGAAAATTCAGGCAACATTTACAATCATTTTTTGGTAGTTTGGTGATCTGTGTTTGTGGGTTTTTAGAAGCTAAGAATATGAACGACACTGCATGCAGCAAAACTAAGCAAAGTAGAAACAGCTAAAAAATCAACAATATCAGACTTAAGCATATTAAGTCACATTAGATTAGAAATACTGAAGAAAAGACTCAATTTCTGTAATTCAACTAATTTTCTGAATCTATGATATCAAAGTGTAAACTGTTGTAAGTAATTAGTTATCATTAACAAAAATGAACAAACAAGAAAAAGAGTATGATCTGTTTCCTACGTCAGTGAAGATAACTGCTGCCATATAAAAACAGTGGCTATGAGAACGGTAGTAAAACGTTGTATTACAACTTGATTCTGCTTAAATTGTACTTAATACAGATAGTTTCAATGTTTAAGTCTTTACACATGAACTGTAACCTTACTTTGATTTTTGAGCAGCGAATAAGGACCAACTTACAACAGCAGCTTTTGCTTTGCTGCTTTTCTCTTCATGTGGAGACAAGGACAGACAGTAAGCACAAAAGTACAAAAATGTGAGGGGAGGGAGGAGAGGTAAAGAGAAGAGGGAGACAGAGAGATCACAGCTCAGGATCTCCACTCTTCTATACATATCCAAATATTTGTACTGATTACTTTTCCTTCTTCAACCAGAAATACAAAGAGAGTTGTAACTGAGCACATATTCTAGATTGTCACTATAACAAAGTCCATGATAACTGCCATAACTGCAGCAAAAAGATCTGAAAAATGTGAAAATGCCCTTGAAATCTTTAAGAAGTAAGTTACTTTTTTCAGTTGTCTTTTATTGAATCAATAACAGTCCAAATACTCTAAACCCTTTACATATTTTAAAAACCAAAACAGAAAAGCAGCACCTGCCTATTTAAAGGTCACTACACAGGCCTGTTGTAGGAAAAATAGGATGTTTACAGCAGCAGGAAATTAAAAAGACTCCTCAAAGTTTAAGAATAAAAGAATGTCTGAAAATATCTAACAGAGAAACATCTGACAAGCTCAACTTCAACCCACACAAGCAGCACATTGAGGACTGAACTTATAGTGCCTATTAAAATATCTTTTCCTGCTGTCATGTACGGACGTGCAGAGACAACTGTTTAATTTGGCATCACAGGCTGAGAAAGGGGCGTTGCTGACCATGTTTGAACATGCGGAAATCATGACAAAATCTTGGCAAAGTTTAGCTGCAGTTGATAAGCTGGATATCAGCTGAAGAGAACATGGCCGCAATGGAGGTGCTAATCAGCCTTAAAGTCCCACTCCGATTGTTCTTATTTTTTACTACTTCAAGTGTTCCCTAACCCTAGCCCAACCCTAACCCTAACCCTAACCCTAACCCCAACCCTAACCTTGGATCTTACCCTAGCCTCAACCCTACCCCCAACCCTAACCCTAACCCAACCCTAACCCAAGCTCTAATCCTAGCCTCAACCATAACCCCAACCCTAAGCCTAGCCCTTACCCTAGACTCAAACCCTAACCCTAGCTCCAACCCTAGACTAGGGTTAGAGTTAGGGCTAGGGTCTTTTTTTTGAACATGCAATTTCATTAGAATGCTTTAAATAGTATTTTGTTACCTGTTGTGGTTTTTCGTGTTGTCCTCATTTCTGTTTTTTTTGGACTGGCCATCTGTTTGTTCAGTAGTGAGCAAAGTTTGACCAACTCAGGGACAGTGGGGGTCACCAGTCTCAGGGACTGCTCTTTAAGGGGTCCTGGGCTGAAATATTTGGAAACCCCTGAGATAGATTAAATTGGTAACTGATGTTTGTAAAGCTATAATTTATGTTTATTCTTCTGAATTGATCTATGAAATACAGGTAAATAAAAACATTAGAAGATTAGGGTAACCGAGTGCCTTTCATTGGCAGGGTAGATGGGAGTTTAGACAGGGATGTTGGAGGCAAAGGCTGTTTTTGTTGCAGTTTTGTAAGCGAACAGCAGGATGTTTGATTTGAGGCAACTAGGAGCCAGTAGAGAGACACGAAGAGAGGAGTGACGTGCTGTTTTGAGTTGGTTGAAGACAGGCTGAACTGCTGTGTTTCAAATCACCTGCAGATGTTAGATTGAGCATGCAGGGAGGCCTTCTACTTAAGGGTTGCAGGACTCAATCATATCACTACAAAACTGGGAGCTGTGTTGCAGTCTCTGACAGGAAGGCTCTTGTCTTTCTGAGGCAAATTGGCTTGACCAGGCAATCAAGGCTGCATGAGCCTAGGGTCATAAATCCTGACCCCCTAGTTCAGGGCAGGGCAGGTGTGAGTTTGGTGGGTCAAAGGTTGTGAGTCAAGAAACCTGGACACTTTCTCCTCAGTCAGAGGAGATTGTGACCTGATTGCAGCAGTTTGAGACTTAATATAAAAACCGATCACGTCAGTGCTGATCTTGTTTGCTTCGAAGGTCATTGAGACACATTAGAGTAAATTTCAGGCTTTTTCACACACACCCAAAAAACTCTAATACAGTATTTGGATGTAAATGTGTGAATGTAACAGCTAAGAAGACTACAATAAGTTCAATTAACTTTTCTCTGTTTGCCAAGTGTACGTATTTTGGATCCATTTTCTTCTTTGCTTTGCTCAGGAGTTTCTGCAATGATGTGTCATCAGTTCAGAGGGTGATTATCTGGCTCTTTTTTGGGGGGGGTGAGAGCTGATTCATTATAGGATAACTGAAGGATTCATCAAATGCTTATTGTTGAATCTCTTTTGAAGTTCATTCTTATACTGCGCACTGGCATTCAACTTAATGTGTCTCACTTATCAAGCTGTCTTTGATGATGACGATGATTTATTGATTTCACAGTGTCAGTCATCGCATCAGTCGCTGAGATAGAAGAAATTACAAAATGTGGTAAGACGGATGACTCAACACAACACAAAGTTCGCAGTCATGCTTAAAGTTCTACAGGGCAACGGTTCAGTTTGAGCAACATAATAAAGCCCTTAAGCTCATGGGATCACCAAAATATTATTCTTTCTCTATGGATCATGTCAGTCTGAACAGTATGTCATACCGATCTCTAATTTATCAGTGTTAACATAGTGATTCTACTTTTTATTGATCTTTTTTACTCCTGCTTTGGAAAAAAAAAAAGTGACATTTACAACTCAAAGATCAGCCCGTCTCAGCATTCTTCTGTATGGCTGTAAACAACTTCATCAGAACACTTGGGTGCTGACACAATGAAGTCTTATTGATTCAACGGGTGTAACAAAAGGTCATTCTTTATATGAGCTGTAGCCTGTTCTCCAGGAGGAAAGAAAATCTCAACAGCTGAGTTATGAGATGCACAGCAAAGTGTGAGGTAATCCATTCTTGGGCTCTGTTGCACACCATTCCCCCTTTGTCAAAATAGGTGCCACATTTATTTTTTGAAGTGATAAATATCCGGCACAGGAAACACCATTAAGGTGCAGGTGGAAGCATACCTCACACAGACTTAACAAATAGCAGAAATCCTCTGCAGCATGATGAATGGTGATTCTGTCTCTCCTTGGATGTCAGCTGCAGTAACCAAACAGTTTAATCATTGATTTTCCTGACGGGCGGAGGTAAAAAAAATCACTCTCTTACAATTGGTTATGTTTGAGCGGACTTATTGATCGGAATTTACCAAAGAAACTGAAAGATGAAGATGGGAAATCCCCTGCTGAGTTTATGAGTGAAGCAATTTGAAGCTTGAGTGAAAGTGAAACGTATCTGAAAGGTTGTGCGGCTCAGACAAAGCAGCGGGTGTCATGTTCAATGTGCGCAGTGTGACCTGCAGACTGACAGAGTTTGCCACTGTGCTTAAAACGCCATATCACGACAGCGTGGACTGTGAGGCGAGTCATTGTCCTGGTAACGGTTTCTATGAGTAACATTCTCCATGACTACCAGATAACAGAATGTAAGAATCCACACTGGAGCCATATAAGGGCATTTGTCTCATAAAGATGATGTCACCAACAACTGCAAGGGCTCCCCTTTCACATCTAGGAATGCACTGTTGGTACAAAGTAGATGGGTGGCTGTGTGTGTGTGTGTGTGTGCACATAGAGCACACAGGACATGCAGACAGACAGATAGCAGGGTGTGTGGTTTGAATGAAGTGAGAGAAACTTTGAGAAGGAGGAAGAAGAATGTTACGTGACACTCGCAGAAGCTGCTAAAGGGGAACTTGGCTCAACTGCTGCAAATCAAAGGCGTGACTCGGAGAACTGATGGAAATTAAAGTATTAGCGGCTATTTGAGACAGCACAATCAGGAGAGAGGGAGCAGAGAGGGAGAGAAAGAAAACAAGATAGGGCAGAGGTTGCTTTCAATCTAATCTGGGTCAGCACCATGGGAAAGTCAGGTAAGTGAAAACTGCACCCTGAAGATTTTCACTCTGACTGCAGCAATTTGGCCTGAGTGAGAACTTTGCCTCCATGAAATGTTGTGAGTGAATGGATGTGTTTTTTATTGTTCTGTTTGTGTGCTTCACCAGCTCAGAAAAAAAGGGAAAAGACATTTATAATTACTATTTTATTGTGGTAGACATTCAAAATACTCTGCAATCCTTTGCTAGGATTCATTTTGCAGCATGCTGATTGTGTTGCTGTTTCAATGTGCCTATTGTCCAAGTGCCTTAGAGACTGCTGGGCATAAGAAAAGGCCAGTGAGTGATAGGCACCAGGCAGGAAGAGGGGGTGGGGTGGGGATGACGTGTTCTACTTCATCAGTTGTCATGAGTTACAGCTACTGTCTGAGGTCAGTCAGGTGGTGTCAACATCTGTGGGGTTTTCTCACTGTCAGTGTCTGCTTGAACTTGAAAAGGCTGAGGAGACAAAAGAGGATGCAGACAGCTCAACTTCTCTTCATTCCGTTTTTAAGATAAGTTTTCCCAGGGTTAGTGTGAGGGTAAGTCAGGGAGTGGTGGAGTAGCATAAAGACAGGGTGGGGTAGGGTGAGGTATGGAAAGGTGGGGGGAATGGGAACTTTGGGGCAAATGGGGTTTGTTAGGGTAGGGCAGAGTTATGTAGGGTAGGGTCAGGTAGCTTACAGCAGAAAGGGTTTGGTAAGGTAATCAACACAATATCACATAAAATAAATCAGATATTCATTTTTAATTAGAAATTAATTTTTATGATATTACAAAATCATTATTATTTATCTATATCAGAAGTGGAACTAAATAATTCAAAGCAAAAAAGCAAATCAAATTACCACAGTTGTATCATGTGGAAACATGGTACCACCTCATTAACTCTGTTTCAACCTTCCTCCTGTGTTAGCTTTTACTACGCACCCACCACTTCAAGGGTCGGTTTTGACCCGTGTGTTAAATCAGCTGTAAATCACACTAAAAACAATTCTCTATCATTCAATTTGGTTCTCATCTCTAGGTTACTTTGTTCGGCTTCATCATCCATTAAAATATTGCTTGTAATAGTTTTTGAAGTGGGCCTCTGGGCCTTTCTTTGTCAGTGTACCCCTCATACAGAGATCTATAATGAATTGATCTCACATGTCTGGACATGCCTAAGGCTGTTTTTTGTGCAGGGAAAAATGAGAATTTCCTAAATTTCACATGATTGGAAGAGGATCTGACTGTCAGTGTTATGCCTGACAGTGCACTTGTGATTTCAGATTTTGCTCTAATTATTAGATATTGATCTAACTGGGTCAACTGCGACCCTAACAAGACAAGTGCCATAACTTTAATAAGAGCATTTTATAATTTAGTCAATTAAATTATTTTATTTTATTTTGTTGAAATAGAGGTTCCTGACAAAGTCAAAAAGTCTTGATGCAAAAAAAAACCTTATTTAAGTGGTTCTTTTAAGCATTTAAAATCAAAAACGGGTTGGTGCAGACCCTAACACAGGAGGAGGGTTAATACAAATGCTAAACACAGTTGAATGATTGAGTACACCACCACAGAGAAGTAGGATGTTTGTAACGTACAAACTTGACTTTTTTACCCTGTATCTTTATGTTTCATCATCATATTTCCTTTCCTCTCTCTGGCTGTCTAACCCTTCCGGTCCCCGTCCTGTCTGTCTCTCAGCCTCGAAGCAGTTTGCAGATGAGGTGCTGCAGTGCCATAATGAGTACCGGAGGAAGCACCAGGCTCCTCCACTGAAGCTGTGTAGCAAGTTGAGCAAAGAGGCGACCCGGTGGGTGAACACACACACATATCAAATTAGAAACCTAATTAGCGAAGACCACACTTAGCAGTCATTGTCAAAGTGCTCTGGATTACAGTGACAGTTCCAGCATAGCCTGTCATATCAAATACTTACAAAGAATAACACCTCATTGAGGATCATGGTTGGTTTTCACTGTGATACCTTATTGTGTTGACAACTTATTTTCACAGAGTGCAGCCGCACGGTTTTTATCATAATAATTTTATCTTCTCAGTAAACAAAAAGCGTATGAATGCTGTAAAAGAAAATAGAGGCTGGGTGACTTTTGTTCCATTTCCAAGTGAGTCTGAATGTTAAATAAAAGCAGCAATATTCAGCACCAAAACTACTTTTCATTGTGAAAAGCATGGAATTGTATAATCAGAGTCAAACATCAAGAAAGTATGGGTGAGAAAAATACTAAGGTCTTATTGTTTTTTGATATGTGAGAATATATCTTTAAAGCTCTAGTAGGGAACCTTTTGTTTGTGTCGATTTTGGTCTCCCCTGTGGACAAAGCAGTCTCTGTTCATATTGTTTTCTACATGCTTTCATAGCATCTTCTGACTAAAAATCATTCTGCTGGCCTCTGACTGTGAGGTTAATCTTTTTTAATTTATTTTATTTTATTTTATTTTTTCGTGAATATCTGACGTGTGACTCCACTGACATCTACCCAATCACAACAAGTTCAGGCATTAGAAATTAGAGTATAAAAATCCTCAGTCTTGGCTCTAGTTGTTTTGTTCGCTTTTGTTTACCATCAAAAGTTATCAATATGAATTTAAGTCACTTTCATTGATGTCAAAAAACTGCTTATAGGAACTTTAAGGTGCAGAGTAAACGCCTCAGAGGATATGTGTTTATTATACTGCAAATACTACTATTAATCGTATTAAAACTGGTGAATATTTAGGTTATGTGTGACAGTCGTTGTTTCTAAAGGCACTTGGCAGTTTATTTAATCATATATGTCTCACCATTTGTCAATTTACAGCTTATGATATGTATAAAAAATGTAAATGCAAAACATTTTTAAATTAATGAGTTAAAAAATCTTACTCGAGCTAAAGTTGTGGACACACCTCACTGGTGTCTCTAACACCACATGGTTACTTATAAAGGCTTTGAAGCAGCAACAATGATAAGTTACCATCAAGTTCAGATACACTCTGATCCAGTTTACACTCTTTGCTTGTAAATGTTTCTGAATGATGCTGCTACTTAACAATCTTGATGAAACGGGTTGATGAGAATGTTATATCTGCTGAAAGTTGCTGAAAGCTGCTGTTGAACCAGTTTTGATATCCAGCCCAACACTAAAAGCTGTTTGACAAGCTGTTTTCAGTGCCTACATTGAATATTTACATAAGATACAAGCTCTGTGGAGAGGATTTTTCACTGTTTACTCAGAGGGCGAAGGCTTCTAGGAAAGCTGAATCTTAAGAGGTCAGGAGTTTTAAAGTATACACAACCACTCAAAGCGGCTATCCCCCCAGTCCATTGGTTGATATTTGCAGGAGTACAAGCAATGACATCTGTTTTAACAGTGCCCCCCATGAGTTTCCTTTTTTCTCTGTTTATAGTTATGCTGAGAGCCTGGCTAGCACACGGATCCTGAAGCACAGTGTGGAGTCCAGCAGGGGGAGCTGTGGAGAGAACCTGGCATGGGCCTCCTATGACCAATCAGGTAAAGTATATACTGTACACGCAGCATTCACACAAACTCAAACTAACTGAATGATATTTACTCTGTGAAACCCTCCTAAGATACTTCTACACAGATCTATTCGATGCACCCCTCCATAGCTACTTTAGTTTAGTATACAAGGCCAAATACCCCACAAAGTCAACAGCTGGGATCTATTTCCCCCGTACTTTCCCACTGTGTTTGAGACGCTATGACTCATTGCAGAGTTATGTCAGCACAGGACAGCATGATTCACGAAAATCTCCTACAGTGCAGCACTGGGCGACAAAAAAATGACCGCTGTGAACAACATGTGCCAGAATGAGATGTAAAACTGCAGGGTGCAAACCTCCTACATCACTGTCAATCTGATCAATACATGTGAAAGAGTGATGTGATTGCTGCTTGAGTTGAAGTTGAGTTTGTCATGTGCTTGTGCAGGAAAGGATGTGACGGACCGCTGGTATGATGAAGTGAAACAGTACAACTTCAACCGTCCAGGATTCTCCTCTGGTACCGGTGAGGTTCACGCAACAGTATCTGTCTGTCTGTCTGTCTGTCGCTTTCTGTTTCTGTTTCTCTCAGTCAGCTGAAAACCACCTCAGGTCAACAATGTGAACACCAAACTGGGCTGGAAAAGTGTATTTGTCTAAAATATCTCACTACACATAATATAATAACCAGGTTTGTCCCATTGAGATCCAAAATTTCTTTTGCAAGAGAGACCTAGCCAAGGATGGCAGCACATAGAATCTGAACATATAGTCACATTTATCATAATTAATCAAAATACAAATAATTATTGAATTTACAAGATTAGTCCATATGAGGCGCACTGACCTGAAAATAGGGGAGAGTGGGGTAAGTTGAGCCAAAGGGTAAGTTGAGCCACCCCCTGATGCTTGGAAATGGTAAAAGTAATTGATCATGTGATATGTAGGAGATGGGCATCAATTCATGGAGTCTGTGAAGGTTAGAAGCACATGGGTGAAGGAGTTAGACATTTATTTCCAAAAAAAACCATTTTTCACTCTTGAAAGTGAATTTAGTCTGTCATCAGTTTTATTAGAATTGTGTTCAGACCAAAAAAGATCATTTTAAATTTGGGTGTACGGTTCAACTTACCCCACTCCTATCAACACGGTTATATTTACACTCATTCTGTTGGTTTGCAGGGATGCACAACATCCTGAAATATATGCAGATACACTAGTTAGAGACAAAACTCTGATTGTCTTGATGTAGTGATCTGAAATATGAAAAAATGGCTGATCTTACCCCACTTTCCCCTACCAGTCTGTTAGAGTCCCTTCAGTTGGTTAATAGTTTCCTGTTACCTCCAACTCTGTTCAACTCAATAACAAACTGATCCATACAAAGTTTCCTGACAGAGAAAATAGGGATACAGCGTTCAGAAAGTAAGCATGTGTCTTCAATCTATTATCACTTAGCTTCAACCTTTTTCTCATGCTGTCTTTGCTTTGAATTTCTTTTGTTTTAATATGTCGTATTTCTCTCACCATCTTAGGCCACTTCACAGCAATGGTGTGGAAGAGCAGCACAAAGCTGGGCGTGGGAAAAGCCACAGCCTCAGATGGTTCTTCCTTTGTGGTGGCCAGATACACCCCAGCTGGGAACATCACAAACCAGGGACACTTTGAGAACAACGTCCTCCCTGCTAAAACCACTACCTAAAGAGGTCTGAATACCCAGCTCTTGACTAAAGCCAGGAGCCATTTGTTCAAATTTTCAGAGGAGTCTGAAGTTATCTGCCTGATGCGCAGGATTCTCAGGAGACCATGCCTTGTACTTGTCTTGTAGAGAGAGCTTTCTCGTATGGACTTTAAGAGATGAAACACACTCGGGCTTAAAGTCTTGTACTCGTCTTTTGAAAATGGTTCAGTGTATGTTTATACTGGTGGGAGCCTCCCTGTATCAAATAAATAACCACATCTTTCGAGATCACAACACTTAAAGGTTGGTGGTAATTTAAATTTCCTATGACAGTATTTTATTCATTAACAATATACATAAATCTTTCACATGCTGAAAAGACTTAACGCATCTGTATATCACAATTGTCTTTGTGTAAGAATGAGAACTAAAGTGACAAGATTAACACACTGATAAGGATAAGTGAAGCCATTTCTTGTGATGTGACTGTGATTTGAAGTCTAATAAGTTTTATACCATGAAGGTGAAACGTGTGCGGTATCTGTTGGCAATCCCTTGCGTGATCTGTGATATGTGCTATTAAGAGTGAAGAGAGAAACAGAAGAAGATGGGAGTTAAATTTCATAATGGTACTTTTTTTATATAAAGTTTGACTTGTAAACAATGACTTGTGACTTACAAGAATTATTTTTCTAAAGTTGGTATTAAAGGTTTTTTCATATCTCTGAGACTCATTAATCTTCTGGTTGGAAAACTGATTTTAAGTTTGAGAGCATGTCTTTTACATCGTAACATTACCTCTACAGACACTGCTTCTGAACAATGTTAATATGCTTTATGCAATGGGTGTGCATCAAAGCAGCTTATTTGCAATGCTGCATCTCAAAAGCCATTGCAAAATGATGTGATTTTTATGAATTTTTTTTTATTTCATTTTATTTTATTTATTTTTGATTAAAAAAAAAGTGGGGAGAAAAATGAGTCGCAATGGATATATTGATGGTCAATCCCTAAAATAAATTAAGGAAAATTAACCAAATATTAGGCTTCTGGATAAGTCAGTGCTGATCCAAATGTTCAAAGAAGTTATATCAAAGTCTGCAACTATCTTGAGAAAAAAAAAAAAAAAAAAAAACACTTGCAATGCAGTCACAGCCCACGTTGGAACAGACTTTATTTAGCAGATACTGGGGATGCAACATACAGTAGCAGCGATACAGAAGAGTCAGTGGCGTTTAGGCTTTATAGACTGTGGGAGGGGGGTCAAGGGTTGAATCCTCCTTGCCTCTTACATGGTCAGCTCCTATAAGGATGAGAGACAGAGGGAGAGAGGGTGAGAGAAAGAGAGAGAGAGAGAGAGAGTGAGAGAGAGAGAGAGAGAGAGAGAGAGAAGGGAAAAGAAGATGTCAGTAAAAATGAAACACTTGGTAGGAAAAATTACAAAATTTATGTAAACATTCGATGTGGCTGATTTGTTGAAACTGGAAAACAAAACCTGTTTCCTTAATTCTAAAAAGATGCGAGCTGCTCCAGGATGTAAACCTGCTTCACTGAATGAAATCCTCTGTCTTTTGTTCTTTTTCATCACGTGCCTTTTTGATAGTCCGGTTTTCTTTGTGATCTTTAGACAGTTTCGTTTTGCTTTCTATCCCATCCAAAAATTCATCTGCGTCACTGAAACTACTGTTGTCTGAGTCAATGCTGCCACCAAGTGGTCACCAAACTGCACTGATGACCTACAGAGCTGCAGAGGTTGCTCGGTTACTGGGGAGAAATTCTACTTGTCATTTTGTCCTCCACTCTTTCTCCTTTTTCCCCTCACCCCACTCCTCCATGTACTCTCCTGCTCACTTGCCATGACTCATTATTTGATTCACCATCTGCCCTCTCTTCAACCTCTCATCTCCCTCTCCAGCTCTCTCCTTTCACCCCTCCTTCCTCCTCACCATGATAGCATTCACAATGTCATTCTTGTTGTGTTTCAGTGCACGGACGGCCTTTGCTCGTGACACGTTGGCCTGAGCCATCACCAGCTCGATGTCTCTCTGCTCCAGACCTCCCTCATCCACCTGATGAAAAGAAACACAACCAAAAAGTTAGAAATATAATAAAATATTCCACTTTGTGGTTAAATAAATGGTAATTAAATCATGCGAAGAGTAATAATTTGACTGCAAAGTACCTCTTCTTCCTCCTCTTCACTCTCCTCTTTGATGGTGAGGCTGGGTGGGACAGGTGGAGCCAAAGGAGAGGAGGTCACAGGCACCTTGAACTTCTCTGCTGCTGCTTTGTGAGCTTGCTGAGACAGGTCCTCAATCTGAGAGCAGGAGAGAGAATAGGAGAGGACAGGAAGATTCAGAGGCTGTATAACAGTTCAGCTGAAGCTCGATTAGATAAAGACGTAAAGAAAGACCCACCTTTGCCTCTCCGAATACAATGTAAATGTCTGATGCAGGGCTTTTGAACACATCAGGTCTGCTGATGACAAACAAGATGCTCTTGGACTTCCTGATGGTGATTCTGGTCACACCATGGACCGGCTTCAGACCCAGTTTGGACATGGCCTGAGTGCACATACAACAGCAGAGCGATAGGAAGAAGAGGAGGAGAACAAAAAGTATAATTTTGAGAACTAATCTCATTATGACAGCAGCATATGGTGTAAAACTGAAAGTGTTTTATTATATATATATATATATATATATATATATATATATATATATATATATATATATATATATAGTAAGACTACAATAAGTATTAAACATCACAGGTGGAAAAACTATTGTGATGACACCTTGTACCAGACCAGATAAACCACTCCAAAATATATAATTAAATAGATGAATAATTAAATGTGACTCCTGAAACATATAATAAATAATCCCATTTATATTCTGCTACATGTCAGGAAAGCCAAAAACAAGCAAGCACATTTTCATTTGATGCAGTCATGTCCATTGACGACAGAGATCTATTCAGTCAGAGACAAATCTCATGTCCTTGTAGAACGGTATTAGATTCAACACTAGGTGTTCTTAGTGTTCCCATGTGGTCAAAAGGCCTGATATCAAGCCCAACACTAGACCTGCATGCTTGGCCTAATAGTCATTCACTAGCTTATCAATTCAGTGAGAAAAATTACTATAAAGAGTGGCCCCTTCTCAGTGTGTATTTTGAGTGGTTAGCAGAAACCCACATTCTAGACTACTGAGCTATTTATCTATTCATTAACTCTTTTTGTTAGTGGGGTCGTATGAGCCAGCTCTCAATATAAAGTGTATTTGCCGCAAGTGGCGCCTGTTAGCTCAGCCCTCCTGTTAAGAAAACAGCTTTCAACTGAAACTGTCCACCCCTGCATGCGGCCTCAGCTCCATCATGTAATTTAGCAGATTTTATGAAACTACAACCCAAACACCAATGTCTATGCAAGTCCACGTCCTATTTACAAATTTTTCCCATGCCTTACATTGCAGTCAGAAACCTCTTTTTTGCCCTATTCTCGAACAATTCATGCAGCGCAATGTTCAGTTTTTGGGTCTTTGATGGATAAAACAGTGATTTATTCTCTGTCCACTTTTCCAACAAAGGGGCTGCACTGACAGGCATCCCCAGTGACCAATACACTGATTATGGACAACAGCCCCACTTCAAAATAACAAAACACACAGACAGTGAGATAGATAGATAGATAGATAGATAGATAGATAGATAGATAGATAGATAGATAGATAGATAGATAGATAGATAGATAGATAGATAGATAGATAGATAGATAGATTGACTGATTGATTGATATGGACAAAAGTCTGACCTTGCGGGCCTTCTTCTCACTTCGACTCTGTTTTGGTCTGTTCAGTCCTTCATCTGCAGAAGAGATAGACTGAAGAAAAAAAGAAAGAATAGTAAGTTTACACTCATTGTTCATGTATGTTCCATGTGACGACCTCCAAATTTTCCATATGCATGTACATGTCACTCATGTAACTTGTGCAACTGTCTTATTCATTTTACCTTAGTTTGTCTCATATTTTTATTTCCTTGACATATCTTTTGGACACACAGAGCAGCAGCTTGTATTGAGTACAACATTTACAGTAAAAATGAGAGGCAATAGCCACTATGACTAAAAAATAAAATTAAAGAACATATAGATCCTACGATTTCTTCATTATATCAAATATAAACAAACTAGGGTTGAAATTGTTATTTCATGGAAAAGCAAGAGCAAGAAAAAAGCTTGTATAAAATGTCTGTAAATTCATGAGGTCAAATACAACATAATAGTGTCATTGAAATGTATTTTATCAGACAGTCTACATCAAGCGTTAAGCCTGTCCTCACTTTTAACTTTAACTCCAAACTTCATTTGGATCAAATGACTTCATTTTATAAGCGATTACATCTAAAAAAAACAACATTTTTATTTTACATTTATGTTTTCATGGTAATAAAAGATATGAGTTTCTCCATGCAGACAGATGAGGCAGCAAAATCAGACTGACCTGAGGTTCTGACGGTCTCAAAGGCTCTGGCTCCTCCAGTTCAGGCACAGACCCCTCACTCTCAGATTCATTACAAGATGTCAATATAGAACCTTAAGACATAATCAAGAACTTTAAATAAAGTGTATTAGGAGGATGTTCGTACATTACCATGGAAACTAATCACCGCAGTTGCAGTAATGAGCACATTAGTAAATCTACCTTTAGTGCAGTACTGAAGAGTGTTAATTAAAATCACAAAAGCTCATCCAATCAACACCAAGGAATTTAAAGAGCTTATGTGAAATAAATAAATGTGATTATGTCTCTCTGCTGCTCTGTTATTTACACACGACAACACGCTCATCCTGTATTGAAACAATGATTTCTACAGGGCAGAGAATTAAACTGTGACATTATCAAACCAAAGCATTTGAGGAAGTTACACGTGTGTGTTAAAATGTGTGAGGGGAATGATAGCTACATGTTTTTATTTAACAGAGACATAAAAAGGCAAAGAAAGAGGTGAAAAGAGAAGATAAAAAGGACAAAAACAAATTAAGGGGATTTCTATCTGAATTATCCGGATAATGGGAGATCAGAGAAACTCACAATTGTTTTTGAATGACAGGTTGATCTCTTCAGAAATTGTATGACCGTGGTTTATTGGACAGCCTGACTGCCTGTCGGTGATCTGGTGGGCGGAGAAAGGCTGTATTTCCCGTCCATTAGACTGACCAGACTCTTTCTGCATGGATCCATTTCTGTTTCCTGTAGCTCCACTTGGCTGGGATCTGTGAGAGTGTGGCAGCAGCCCACTGTCATCCTCACTGTCTGTCTCCTCCTCAGCCAAACTAGGACCTTACAAGAAACATACCAGTTGATCAGATGTATATTCAGAGCTCACATTCTGTTTTTCTGAAATATTCACATTTTTCAGATCACGCTTAACTGAACTGACTTAAACAGACAGGCTGAGGAATTATACCAGATGTATAAAAAAATCAGATAAATATGTCTGACATACATGTGAAATCACTGATTACCAAATGCATGCACACAAAGCACAAACAATCTGGAAACTGCCAGCTTTAAACACACTCACACTGTGGGAGACCTTGAACAGCTCTCACACAAACACACTTTTGTACACACCCACACACAGACCAATGAATCGCCATTTCTACTTTTTGTTTAGAAATTGTAGATTGTTATTTTATTAGTTGATTTTTCTTGTCTATTTTTTTACTTTTTGCTTATACTAATAAAATAAAGTGTATATCAATAAAGTATATTAAACTGAATAAAGTAAAAAAAAAATTAAGTGAAATTTGTTGACTTGATTTTAACTGTATTGAGTCAAAAAAGCTGGATTAAAATGACTTGTTGAATTAACGTTTATTGAATTAAATTAAACTGAATTCAATTAAGATAATTCCAACAGAATAAAATTTACCCGTATTTCATTGAAATGGAATTATATGAACTGAGGTAAACTAATATTTAATTGGATACATTCAGCTGAGTTAAATAATTTTAAGTTATACTGAACTGTAGGGAAGAAATGGAGTAGAGTCATATGGGTTTAAACAAAACTGAAATTATGGGACTTAATTCACATTAAATTGATAACTGTGAAATAAGTGGAATGAAATTAAAGTAAACTTAAGTTAAAATTCAATTAAGTTGATTTAAAATAAATTGAATTAAGTGAAAAAACTGTCTTAAAATAAACTGAAAGAATGGAACAGGGCTGATTCGCCTCTAACTGGAATACAGTGCATGAAGTTCCACTTAAATGAACTTTAATGAAATAAAGTGCAACACTGACTTGAAAGAAATGTAATTTACTTCCTTAAATTTAAAAGGGGGGAAGGGGGGTTAAATGCCTTAATTTAAGTAAAACTGAATCTAATTGACTTGAATCAAAATGAATTGAATTAAATTGAAAATCTAACAAATCATCACATTATTCTCACCTCTGCATTTGTCCTGTGCACTCCATTTATGACCCTGTTTGTTTTGTTTGTGACCCTGGCTGCTGAGCTTCGGCTGGGACTCTGAGAAGGACTGAGACTTGGAACAGGAAGAAGAGTCAGGAATACATGCTGAATCAAGAGTCTCAGACTCAGGTGACGATGACTCCTGGGTAGGTTGGGATAGGCTCAGTGGCAAGGCAGTGGAGAGTGAGGGTGAAGAGACACTTGTGGTAGATGTAGTTGATGTGTAGAGGACAACAGTGACCTCTTGAAGGTTGCCGTTTGAAGGAAATTGGGAATTGGTGGCCTGTTGTGTTGTGGGGGAGGTAGAGAAAAGTGTAGGGGTGGTGTGGCACACAGGCAGTGAAGATTGCTGCTGGGCTGAAAGGACAGGTTGAGATTCCTGCACGGGTGTGGGGAGATCATCCTCAGGGTCTGTTGAAGCACAAGGCAAAGAGGAGGAGGAGGAAACTTGAGATGCTGAAGAAGAAAGTGGAGTCAGAGAGCATGATATGATATCCTGGGCTGGTGGGCTGCAGTCAGCATCTATGTTGTTGTCATTAATGTCCACTGTAACTCCTCTTTGATTATCAGATAGAGGTCTGTTATCAAGAACCTCCTGTATCTGATTCAGTTCACGGTTCCTTTCCATCACAGCACTGAGGTTGTGATTAGTAGGTGAGGATGATTTGCAGTTTCCAAAGATAGGATTTTTGATGTCAGAAAAGGGACTGGTATCCCTATGCCTTTGTGAACCAGATCCAGATTTGTCTGCCCCAGATGTCCTCAGCGGACAATCAGAAGACGAACCTTTGTCATTTGCCTTTTGGCCTTTTTTAGTTTTAGCATTGTCTGTGATTCCCTTTGTCCTTCCATCTGTAGTGGTATTTAAGGGAACAAATGGTTTCTTTGGCTCGTCACCAGATTCAGGGCTCGAGTCAGCATGACTGCCTATCTGAGATACCCTGTGCTTGTTTTGCTTCCCTCTCCTCCCTTTCTTAGGAACATTTGTGCTAAGTTCCCCTTTGGGTATTTGACACGCAAAGTGCTCTGGGCTTGTCTTTCTCTCCTTTGTGTTCTTGGTATGTTTCTTTGGACCCTTCGTTTTTGCTTTCTCATCATCATCATCTTCCCCTGAGTTACCAACAACACATTGCTGGACTCTACTGACGTCTTTCATCTTTGGTTCATCAACATGTCCGTCAGTCACAGGACTCACTTCGACTTTATGTCCATCAGTCTGAGGCTTTTCTGTTTTTGACGGAGAACTAGTATTGTCCACCTTGTTTTGGCAGGCTCTACTTGGTCTGGATTGATTGGATTTATTTTTTGGAGAAAAGGACCCAAATGATCCATGCAGCAAAGAGAATGGTGCATTGCTTTCTGGGGTGCTTGTTAGACACTCTGGACTAACTTTCGTTTTAACTGATGGGATTATGGATCTGTCAGTTTGGTCTCCATCTCCACTGATGGTGTCAGGAACCTGAGGTGGTATTTCCTCAAGTGGGATATTAGACACAGACTCTTTAACATTGACACTGACACTCTGGGATCTCGCTTCTTCGGATAGTGCATTCAAACCTCCAGACATGGCAACTTCCAAAGAATCAAAGGCAGATTCATTGGTAGTGTTGGAGTTCTTCCAAGTGTCTTGTAATTTTGTATCTGTGTTATTTCCATCTTGGTCTGGATTGAGATTACTGACATCATCTTCTGGAAATCTAGAGCTTCCATCTTCTCCTCCTCCTGCCTCTGAGATCTCCTCAATGGACCTCCAGTGGGTTAATTTGGACTCAGGAGTTCTCTCTTCAATCAGTTCTTCATTTGCCATCGTCTCCCTTTCTCCACACAGGTTGTTGTTATCTTCCTCATCCAGAACAGAACCCAGGACATCATCATCATCATCATTTTGGCAAGCTTCACTGCTCAAAGTTGAAGTAACTGCTGTTTGTGTGCTTCGGCCCTCTGCATCACACATGAGCAGACTCTCTGCCTCTAACTCATACCTCTTTCCCAATGACAAAGAGAGTGACTCTCCTGCCCCCCAGACACCATACTCTGCCCCTGACCCTAATCCTAGATGAAGTCCTTGCCCCATCCTGTCATCACACCATGCCGCAGCTCCATAGCCTATCTCCTTTTTTGTGTCTGTTTCTGAGTTTTCCCTTTTAGGGGAGATGGCAAGTGGAGAATGTGGGGATCCAACAGCTCCCAGAGCTCCATCATCAGTAGTTAAGGTGTTTTCCCTCAGGTTTTCCTGGGCAGAGTCACCAGGGCAGTGTTCAGGAGTCAAGGCCAGATTGTCAGCAAGTTCTGGGAAAATCTCCTGGGAGGCTGATAGAGGGATATTACTAGGGTTGGGACTAGGGTTGGGACTAGGACAGGAGAAAAGAAGAACACCCTTATTCAAGTCATTGGTTGCAGTGGTCGAATTCATGGAGGGTCCAGAATCAATGCTTATAAACTCAGCTGAGGCATTTCCATTCTTTTGGTCAAGTTCAATATCAGACTCCCTGTGAATACTAGGCCTACACATGGCCTCTGCACCTTCAGGCACATCAGATCTGTTGGCGAACGACTTTGATAGTAGAAGTCTACTTGCTCCTACAGTCTTCTGACTTTCTGCTTGGTTATGACGAGGCTTGATGAGCAACTTAAAAGAGTCCCTCTCTGGTTCTTCTTTAGGTCGCTCCTCAGAATGCTCATTGCTCTGTTTCAAATCAGCACCTTTCTTCTGAGGACTTTCCTCAGTCATTTCCAAAGGAACTGATTTGTAAATGTCTGTGGTTTCTTGTGAGAAAGCTGCAATGGGTGGGATGATATGGACCTCAGCAGTATGTTCAGGTTGACTGTGGATGACAGGAGTTGGGGAGCAGTGGGGCTGCTGAGGAAGGTTGGAAAAACCAAAAATATTTATCATCTCCTTTTCGCTCCCATCCTCGTCCAGATTGCTTGGAGAATCTGGCCGACAGGACATTGCTTCTGCATGACCAGACAGTTTCTGTTGAGTCACCGATTTGCATTTGCTCAATTGTGCGTGCAAAGATGTTGTCTGATCTATTCCACTGGCAGATTCCTCTTTAAGGTCGGAGTCTGGCTTAGATTCAGAGGCTTTCTGTTCATCCAGAGGTTTGGGCTCATTAGTCTTGTCTTTGAGGTGCACTGAAATAGCTTCAGATTCGTTAGTGTTTTCAGGGTGATCCACACTTTTTTCCATGCTTTGCTGCCGGTGCAATGGTTCAATTTGATCTGTTCCAGTGGCAGACTCTTGTGCAGGTTCTGGCTGGATTTCAGTCTGATCAAGCCCATCCGTTGATGTGGGTTCTAGTGATTGTGCATGCCTCTCAGTGCTGTATAGACGTTCATCTTCCTCTCCGTTATAGGAAGCAGAATCTAATGAGTCATCTGTATCATCTTGGAAACAGAAGGATTCATCCAACCCTTCATTAATCGATGTCTCCGAAAGTGAATGAAGGAAGGATGCTGAGCTGTCCTCCTCTGAATTACCCTCCACTGCTTTGCTGTCACACTCCTCCTCATCCTCTTCTTCTTGCTCTTCGTTTTCCTCCTCTTCTTCTTCTTCTTCTTCTTCAACCACTTTCACCTCTACCTTGGCCTCCTCACCTGAATTCTCATGGTTATCACTGTCATCTTCTTCATTATTTTCATTGTTCCCATTTCCCTCAGCAGCACCATTAGCATGCCTACCTACACTATCATCATAATCATAGTCGTCATCATCATCATCCTCGTCATCATCTTCAACATCTGCTTCCTCCTCCCCTGCCGCATATGCATTAACATCCCTTCCTTCTTTTCCATCATTAACTTCTCCAATTTCATTCTCTTCCTCTGTGGGAAATAGAGTGATTTCCATCGAATCAGCCTTGAAGATAAGACTGGTGTGGAGGGGAAAGGAGATGAGGGAGGCGGGGATCATTCTCTCCTCGTCTGGTATGCCTTCGGTACAGGCTGCCTGAGAGAGCATAAAAGAATTGGGTCCAAGCCTTCCAAAGGCCCCGGGACAGAAGGCATCCAGGGGGATGACAGGTGAGTCGGGACTAAGGCTGGATGAGGCCATGGTCATGTTCTCTGCATCGGGAGTCAAGGTCGTGTGGGGTTCTTCTGGGTTGTCATCCATGTGTCCATAATGTTCTTCTGATATGCATGTTTCCAGCTGCAGTTTAAGGCCTGTTTGTAAGGTTCTCAAGAATTCTGCTCTCCCTGTATCAGCTTCTTCCAATGGGCAGAGTGAACTTTCAGATTCTGCACCATCATCCTGGGAATCACTGCTACGGCTGCTGCTGCTTCTGACAGGGGATGTATCCTCAGTCACCCAGCAAGGACGACAACTTTCTCTGGACATCTTGATCTCCTCACCTCTTAGAGCCTCTTCCTCCTCGATGATCACTGTTCCTGTTATGCCCATTCTGGAATTTGAGACAAAATCAGAAGGATGATAAAGGCAGAAGTTGCCTGCTCTATCCTCATCCCGTTCTGGACCTACCCGGCCTTTTTCCTCAGCAACCTCATCTCCAATCTCTGATAAGGAGCCCACAAAGCAAGCAGGGGCCTCTTGTGTTTCTTCAGTGAGAAGCAGGTTGGGCGAGGTGGACGGGGAGGTGGAGGAGGTGTAAGAGGAGGCCCAGCTGCCACCCTCTGCTGTGATATAGGAGCCAGAAGGAGAGGTTAGAGGAGAACAAAGGTCCTCACTGTCTGAGGGAGAGCTGGGAGAGAGTGGGCAGGCTGGAGAACCAGGATATGAATGATGTTTAAGGTGCGAAGAGCGGGATGCCATCTTGATTGGGGTTGAAGGTGCAGTATAGTACAGGTCCGGGTCAAGAGATGAGGGCACACCCACCCGAAGTGGGTCAACAGCATAGGTTGGCTCAGTGAAGGACAAAGCAACAGGACAAACCAGCTCAGAAAAAGAGTTGGAAGGCACTTCATCTTGAGAGAGGTTTTCACCCTCTTCCTGGTTTTCAACCAGATTATCATCAGTTGCGACTGACTCCAAGGGGGGAGAGGAGGTGCATATGGGGCTAGGAAAAGAGGAAGAAGGTTCTTTTTGCTGCCCCTGCTGCTCCTGAGGCCTTTGAGCTTGGCTTTCCTCTTTGTTTAGTTCCAGCTGGGTCTCTTTTACTTGAGAGTGAGACTCGGAAAAGCTTGGACTAGCCGGCAAGGGGATAGCAAGATCTTTTGGCTCAAGCAGGAGTCTCCCTTTCTGAATTTCTGTTGTTTTGAGCAATGTCTCTTGACCCATCACCACCCTTGTGTCAATGGTCTGTGGCTCTTGATAGTCACTCTCCACCTCAGAGCCAGTCAGGACCTAGAAAATGAAAAATATAAATACACATCAAAGTTATAGTCATTTCACTGCTAGAATGGCTCTGTTAGCATCTGCTGTCAAGTCTGAATTATGCTCATCATCACATGACTCACACCTTGATTCTCTCCATTTTAACAGGGACGTGGCGGCCACATGGTCCATGACCACCTAACATCCCAGACAATCTGGGTGTATTGTTACGGTGGTCAGAGCCTTCAGGTTGTGGTCTTGGAGTACCAGAGGAGCTTGGTATTGCATGAAAAAGGCGTGGTCCAAATGGGGAGTTGCATGCTGGGAGTAGCTTTTGAGGAGTACTGGGAGAAGGGCTGGAACCACTGTCACTCGGGGAGGATCCACTGTCACTGGGGGTGGAGTCAGTGGACGGATGTCTGGTCATATCTGGAAAGAAAACACACAATATTATGACACCAGTTTAATTCAAGGGAGGAACATGAGTCAAAATCTTAAATAAAGGAGAAAAACTGGATGTTTTGGGGGATATTCGAGCTGCCACCATTGTTTATACCAAGACCAGCACCTTTTGTGTATAACAACAGACTTTTCAAACCCTGAGTTGAACTTTAATTTTCCTCTCCCACACACTAGCTCAGACAAAGCTACCAAAAATGTCACCAACATACCAGTGAGAGTACAATTTAAAAAAAATGTCCTAACTCTGTTTGATATAGCTCTTGCTTTTGAGAGCAAGACAATCCCTAAGGCTGTGAATAAAGTATTTATTTTAAAAAATGATTGTTATTTCTGGACTGGACAACCTCAAAACTAAGTACAGGAGAGCAATGCTTGTCCTCAAATACTTATGGTATCTTGCATTTCTTTCCAAGTTGCCTGTCTCCCTCTTTTCTAACCAATATGCAAAATTCCAGAGTTAGCCTGAAGCAAAAGAAACCATTATTGTGTTACAGTTTTCCCATCCTGTTGTCCCACTAGTCCCTGCTATCATCTTCATGACTGTCATCACGAGAAGAGAGATCACTGAGAGGAAATGACAGGATATATGAAGGAAAAGGGGGTAAGGGGTGAGTTTAGGGATTCTTGTGTGTGTGCAAACAACAGAGAAGGAACAAAATAAACATATACAACATTTCTAACCATAACCAATGGGTTACCATAACATAAAGCCATACATCTACTGAGATACGCCTTAAGGGTGGGGGTGTACACATCTATCTTTTTATCACGCAGAGAAGTAGCAGACCCTTCATTTGCTCTGTTATCTGGGACATTGCCACAGTGACCTCAATCCACATGATGATTGGCCATTAGAACACACAATTGGCTCATCTCAGTGCCAGCCACAAACACACACGCCCTCACACACGAATAGACACACTTGCTCTGCCAGGAACCCAGATATCACTTACTTGCTAATTCACTCTCTGTTCTGTATCTCCTCCTTTGTTTCACTCCCTAAATTTTCCCTGCCAATATTTTCCCAATCCAGTCAGTCTCCTTGCGTTAGATTGTGAGTCTCTGCCTCTTTACTAAGTATATCTACCTTGCCTCTCCTCCCTTACTGCCTTCCTGCACTGGCCATGGTGGTGGATGCAGCCATCAGCACTTACCAGTCCAGCATAATCTAAGCATAAGGTGTGTTTGTGTGTGCTGAGTCATGTCTCAGGGGCTAAAACCTGCTACTAATCAGAAAGATGCACAGTTAAGCATGCACAAAAGCCAACTCCTGCTCCTTAACATGTATAGCAAAGTCAGTGGATGTAGACAAAGAGTGAAACTGTTCCCACCTAATAAAAGCTCAGTCGAAAAAAATTGTTATATAATCAGGGAAACAACTATTTAAAACACCTCCCCAAACTCCTGTATCTTTCTCTCTTATATGCCTGCCATCAACATCACATGTAAAAAAGCTGCATGCTTCTGTTTAGCTAGGCTGCTAAATAACCATTGGCAAACATTAGCATGACTGTCATTCTGTAACTTCTATAGCTGTAGATTGAATGTTACCAATAATCTGAGGGTGTTAGCCTCTCTTTCCTTGTCCTCATTCAGTCTTGGAGTCTCCTCTAGGGTAAGACACTGAAATAAAGCACCAGGCTCGCTGTAACAGGAACAGGCCGCATTGAGCTTAGCAGACTGGAGCTGCGTCACAGAGGCTGCAGCACTGGCCTGTCAGCCCAAAGGGGGGCTTCTGTTTCAGGCACAGCTCAGACTAAGCCAAGAACCGACACCCCCAGATGCATATGTTTTCTGTCTTTCATATCCTCCCTATATTTTTTGCCGCAAAATTGTCAATATTTCCTTTTTTTTCTCCTGGAAATTGAATACCAGAATACAAGTTTGCATCCGACAAAATTCAATTCTACCTCTTCAACCTAGATTCAAGAAGGCGTGTAAAAAATCGAAGTCTGAGAATAGTCTAAGCACAATGATGGGCTAAAACAGAGAAATACATGAAGGAGGAACAGAGTTTTCTTCTACTGGTTATTAAAACTGTCAGGACGGTCACAGCAGCACTGTCGTTTCTTACGATAGGCATTAACATACTAGTGAGATGTATAACTTTCTTATTTTACTCAGAAGTGCTTCACTAATCACTTATCCGCACTTTCTCAGCCTTTCTATGCCTATAGGCCATTTGTACCTCCTTTTCCATAGCAGTTTATTTCAATATTCTGTAACTAAAACTGTACAGCAGCATACAAAACAACTGGCAATAAAAACAGTATAACAATAACAAAGACAATAAGTGTTTGTATGTCGCTAGAGTTGCCACGCTGCTGTGTCATGTTCCTGCTCAAGCTGGGGGGATGGGAGGAGCCACTTCAACAGTCCCAACAGATACACACACTGCTGAAGGGATGATACAAACAGGGTGGTAACAGGGGCAAAAGATGGGGGCAGCACGAGGAGTAGTGGAAGGGGTAAGAAGGCCAGGGTCAGGGTGGGGTGAAGAAACAGAAAGGTTTGGGTAGTCAGATGGTGTAAGGTTTATTAGGTTGTTTAGTTAATGGGGATTTAGAGTTGAGGAGTGCATGAGGGTTGAGGCAGGAGTTCACAGTTCTTGAAGGAGGCTTACATCTGAGGGTTGTAGGGGGGGCAAACATGTAGTTTAGTCTGGTTGCCAACATGCAGCTGATTCACAGCTCACTCAGAGTCTAGTCAACAGCAGTAACAGACGAAATGACCAACATGATAGTTTTTAACAGATCATTGTATGCATGTATATGTTTCCTCTGTATGTCTGCCACGCTTCACATCCTGCCAACTCTGCCCTAGACAACCTAATGCAATCAGTCTGCTCTAAACTTATCCCCTGTCCTGGTCAGGTCCCATTCTCTGTCTTCTATTCTTTCCACCCCACAGCTCCTCTCCATCCCCAGCCCCAGAGGTCCTACCTGGTCCAGGGAGCCCTGTCTCCTCAGCTCCCTGTTCCGGATGCTTGTCGGTGGGGACAGATCTGTGCGTGCTCTCCCCCGGCATGCTTCTCGCTGGCTCTCTTTGGCTCTGACGCAACAATAAACCATACAGCCGGAACAGACAAGGTGAACAGGGAGAGAGAGAGAGAGGGAGAGTGAGAGAGAGAGAGAGAAGACGACGAAGGAGGAGGAGGGAAGGGGGGGACCTGATTGCTTAGCGACCCAGTACTCAGATCTCCCCCTGCAGCACGTGTCTCCTAATATGCGTGTGAGTGCGTGTGAGTATGTGTGTATAAATCATGCAGAGAGAAGGAGTGGGAGATGGAGTATACCCTCTCTGGTGTCTTCCTGTGGTGCGGTGCAGTGATGCTGCTGTTGTGGGCGTGTGTTTTCAGAGCCTCATGATCCTCTTCATCTGCATATGTGTGTGTGTATGTGTGTGTTTGTGTGTGTGTGTGGACTTAAAGAGGGAGCTGCAGTATCTCTCATGATGCTCAGTTCCTGCTTCCCTCCCCCCTCCTCTCATCCTCCTCCTCCTCCGCCACGCCTATCTCGTCCTTCCTCTCCTCTTCAAGCCCCCCATCCCTCCCCTTGCACTTCTCTCTCTCATCCAAGCTATGACTGGATCTTTGGAGATGATGTCAGCAAATTTCCACTGTCGTCTCAGTGCTGCCCCCAACCTTGGAGGAAAGGACCAGAACTGCAAAAACAAGAGGAGGATGGAGAAAACAAGCACAAAGAGGGAGGGAGGTTCAAGGACAATTATAGAAACAAAATGAGACGCAGAAAAGTGATCTTTAAAAGAGCAGAGACAAAACCTGAAGTCAACTCCTGCTTATTATGCCATCTGCCTCCAGTTTCGACTGCGTCCCTTGGTACAGTACATGGAAACCTCTCCCCGGGGGCAGATCTCTCCCCCACAGCTTAGCCTTCTCCTCTGCCCCCTCACTTTCCCCTCTTCTTTATAGACAACAAGTGAGGGAGAAATAGACAAAAGTAGAAGGACGTGGAGGGGGTGGCAGCACTGAGCCAAGTGATCAGCAATGGTAGTTTCCATGGTAACACAAAACTTCCCCTGGTGGATGTGCCAGCTCAGCAGAAGAGATCGCCACTTCACCGGATAATTCCCTATTATGGCCTCAGAGCAATCCAGGTGACCTTATGAGATATAGCAGCAGATAAGGTCACAGCTTAAGCCTGGAAGTAGGTTTAAAGTGAACAACAGCCTTTTTTTCAGCTATTGAGTAGAAGTAGAGCTGGGCACTAACTTCTAAAAATATTGTGTGGTTCCTATAAATATCCCATTTATTTGCTGTTTTTAGGATGCAACAGAGCTTCACTGAAAGAGAGAGAAACTTGTAGTGAGGAGTAATTCACTATTTTAAGTTCATTACAACTCTTGAATATGATGGTTACACCTGCACAATGCAAACTAGAAAAGCACTCGGAGAGCGCAGACCTCCGCCAAGCAGCTCATGTCCCCCCTTAAACAAGAAATGCCCTGACCAGGATTCAAACCCAGAACCTTCTAGTTGTGAGGCGACAGTGCTAATAACCACTACACCACTGTGTCGCCTATCTACACCACTGTGCCGCCCATTGGTTATCTTTCAGCATTGAAAATTCCAACGACACCCTTATTTTTGTGTGTTCTGGATCACAGTTCACAATTTCAGGTCAATACGTCTGTTACTTTCTCCCTAAAGTTGCTAACATACAAACAAACAAACCAACACTACCGAAAACATAACCTCCTTGGCGGAGGTAACTTATCATGCAGGAGATACTCTGAGTGAGGACTTCTCTACTTGGGCTCCATCAACTGACCACAAATGCTTTAAGATTAGATGAACCAGCGCAGGCAGCATCATATCGGAGCATGTGGTGGTTTTTCCAGAGCGACAGTATCATTTTGTGTGGTCGATTGAGGCTCCGCATTAACCGCTTGCTCCCTTCCTCTCTTCATCTCGCTCTTGCCCGCAGTCTTCAGTTTTCTTCCCTCTGCCACTCAACAGCATCTGATGTCAGAGTGCTGCCTCTGCTCTTAGTCATGTGTGAGCAGTTTAAGGTCCGCAAAGATGATCCTTCACTTGCCGTGTCCTCATAATAAAGCTAAAGCTGTTTCATAAATAAAAATAGATTTTGAAGGAATTTTAAAGCTTCTCTTTTAAATGTTCTGCCGTGTCTTAAAGGTCAAATGTTCCTCATGTATATAAATCAAGCAGGAATGAGGAATGAAGCAGAAGTGCTAAAAACTGTTGTTTTAATGCAGAGAAAGTTTTGAACTCACTGCCTTCTGCATAAAAACTGTCCGTCCTCTCAGTATGGAAACTTCTTTCTCCTCTTTCTGGTTCTTATTTTGAAGTGATTTCACAGCCTAGTCAAAGTTTATAACATTATTTTTATAATATTCTGATCTCTCGTGTTTATTTTGTTTGGTTTGACTTTTTAAACATTTCCAGATTCTATCTTTTAAGTTATTAATGTGACTTTTTTTGTTCCTTTTGAGTGTTTCTGTTAGTTGTCAGTTCCTCGTTTTGATATTTATTCCTTCTTCACCATCAGGCTGCATGTTTGTACGAAAAGGTGCCATAAAATAGAGCTGAGTACATCTGTTAAAGAAATGAAGCATGTTTTATTCATTTTTCATTATGCAAACCAACTATATTCAGTGATTTGAATTCAGAAAAATGAAAAAATAATTACTGTAAAGAAGATAACTTTTATGTAAAGCTATGAAATGACCACTCCTCTGTTCCAATGAATGCTTGCTAAAAATACTGATGCACACATGCACATACCAGTAAGCCAGTGGGGAATGTCATTAGCTGTAAGATGTCAAATGAAACGTATTCTATCTGAATACCACACCGATGACATTTTTAATGCAACACTTCACTGACTGCAAATGTGCTTATTATAAACCAGCACACAACAATCAAAGTATGAAATTATGAAGGCACTCAGATAATCTTTAAAACACGGTGGTGAAAAAATACAGAAAAAAATGCAATAAAACAGTTTATTCCATCACAAGATGACACATTCACAGAGATAATTTAGTTATTTCAATGTATTCACATACAGATATGATACAGCCCTGGTGCTTCTGTTTTGATAACTCTTAGTAGATCACATCTTCTCCATAAAAGGACTTACTGATGTGTTTATTTCTGTCTCTCTGCCTCCAAAACCCCTCATTCAACATCACCATGGAAACAGGGAAAGCCCCACACGTTGCCAAGGGAACCAGAGTGAAAATATGATTTTATTTTTTTTTATCTACCAAAGTATGAGAGAGCTTTTCTGCAAAGCCACTCTGCTGTGAGCGTGAGTGTGGGCATACCCGCGTATTCCCTGTTGTCCAATTTGGTTGGAAACGCTGTGATTTAGCTGAGTCTGCAAATTTTCTGACGACCGATAGGCTCATTTAGCCATGTCCTCGGCCAGAGCCTTCCCCATTTTACCCTTCAGGTATTCAAGCCTCTGCCAATCAGTTTTCAGCCCCTGCCACTCATAGTATGGTACCTGCAAGAGGACAAAAAGCAGGTCATTACCTTATCAGTGAAAACTTTGCCAATCCAAGACTGTCTTGAGAAACATGGCTTCATAGCTACTTGTATCATCATATATTAATAAACACATTATTAAAAATACAACACAGTGGACCGAGTTCACATACTCTACAGCTCTGCAAACTTGAGACGCAAGAGATGCTACAATTTTTCCTATTCCTTATAATTAAATTATTCTGATATTTATGGAAAAAAATCACTACTGAACAATTAGTTACACATTCACTGATAAGTAAGCCCATTTCTAGCACCATATAAACATTTCACTTTTGAAAAAAGACAGTTATTGCTAATGCCAGTGTGTTGCAACAGCTCTAGTTTGGAGTGGCCTAGATGAGGAGATGAAGAGCTGCGGCTGAAGCTCTATTTATACCGCAGTCTGCAGTGGGACCCACCTGACTCTCAAATATGAGGTCCATTGTTTGCAAAGCCTTAGACTGTGAGATATAGCAGCAGCATTTCTAATCTTTAAATCTTTAACTTGAGTGGATAAGAAATGCAAAACGTTTTGTTCACCTGCTCCAGATGTTTCTCATAGAAACAAATGAGGAGTCATAAAGCTTAGTGAGGCCGCCTGTGTGGGCATTAACATTAACAGACTGTTTCTTGTTGGATCAAAGGGGAAAAGACAAAAAACATTTCCTAAATGATTTTTCACACCATCTGTTGGTTATAATGTGCTTTTGTTTACCACTTTGAAATCATGCCACTGTAAGGCTGCAGCCATAGTATACAAAAACCCTTTGGCAGAGGTAGAAAAATAATTTGGACACTGCTAAAAAGGCTTTTACTCTAAAGTAACATCACAGCCATAGCCGTCACTACAAAACAGGTTATCCTATCTCCATCCTCTCCCTACCTCCACTACAATGAAGTCAGCCAGGATGAGATGTCGCTTCATCATGGCAAACCGTCCCAGGAGGTCTCTACTCTTTGAGCCGAAGTGTGCAAACTCCCAAGCCAGGACAGCAAGCCTAAAACCAGCCAGAGATGAGTTAAAACAGGATGACAAAATGACTTCAGACAAACAGAGCAAAAGTGAAACTAAAATTAATCTTTAACAACCTAGGCTAGCATGATTCCCCCCTGTATGACTCACCGCTGAGCCCCTGCAGGAAGAGCCTGCTCTCCTCCTCCACTGGGTAGATGAGGGGCTTTCAGCTGTGACAAGTCGACTGGTTTGTTGTCACAATCCAAGACCAGCTCACCCTCTGATGAGAGAAGGGTTTGTCAGGTGAACAAAAAAGCTTGAACTCAATGACACAACGGAATATGTCCTCAGCTTTCAGTTTATAGTTTATAGAGGTCGACAGGAGAGTGTTGGCTGTGTTCAAACAGTCTCCTCTGGACTTGGTCTGAGGGAAACTCGGTACACATTTCTGCATACGTTATGTGGCTGGATAAAAACAGACCCAAGTATTTCAACTCTCTGTCTAAAATAGTATAGAAAAAAGGTATAATTTTGATTGTTTGTAATATCTATGTGTTTTTATCTAGTTTTGGTCTAGGTCTAGGTATTCATTGGCAGTTTCAGACAAGAGAAAGTATTCAGAAGTAGTTTGTTTTGATTGATCTGCTTTATTTTCATTTCAATGTCTGAGATTTGAATTGTTTTGGATCAATTGAGTGGATCAAAGGTTTCACATCTAATGCATCTCAAACTACAAATTAGTTAAAAGAATGTATCAACAGTTATATTATGGTATATGTATTTTGTTGTATTATCATATGCAGTGTTTTCTGTTTAAATTTTAATATTCATTTATGATTAACGCTGTACGTCTTACCTCACAGTTACGTAAAGGCTCTCCAGGGACAAGAAGTAGTAAGTAGCTAAAAGCTGTCAGTGCAACATACCACTTTTAATCCTCTGTACTCGAACTACATCAAATCACATTTCCTTGTCAAAGGAATAGATAAAAATATTAAAGAAGAAATATTTAAATGAAATATGATTGATTGACTAATTTAATTATTGTATTGTCCCTGTAATTTTGATTTTTGAGAGTGATTATTGGAAAAGCATGAGTCTAACTGAGTAGATTATTTGAGCTATTTCCTGTTCTTGTTACATATATGAAGAATAGATTAAACGAAGTTAAAATGTCATTAAACTCCAGTGAAAAAGGAGTGCACTTTATGAGACCAACTTCACTTCCTTACCAATAGTCCATCCATACACTGTGTCCACCCCAGTGCGGAGGGCGTCTGTCCTATCACCTACGAAATTCTTCAAAGCTTCTCTGAGTGTTTTCTGCAGGACGGTTAGGGGAGGGACTTTGGCTGAGACACTGAGGCCACTCAGAGAGGGTAGAGAAAGAGAGAAATCTGGATGTTCTAGGTGGAAAGAAGCAGCAATCTGGATGAGCTTCAGTCGATAGAGGTCTGCCCCGGCTGTGCTGCCCTCTACAGGCAGAAAAGAGAACAGAGCATGCGTGAGTGCTAACAGACCAAGTGGTATCCATTTTTTCTGAAAAACACATTTTGTATTAAAAGCTCTGCTTCAAGTTTGAAACAAACTTCCACTGAGCAAAAGCAGAAATCAACTGGTGGTGCACTGCCATCTACTGATGATGAGATAGAACTTTGTTAGTAAGATCTGGAAGTCTAAAAATACATGAACAAAGCAGTTCAGGAGGTTCAACTAGAATCAACAACTCCTACATGCATGTCTCATGGAGTCAGTTTCACCCAAGAGACCAAGTGGACATTTTCCTCCATGATTTTCTGAGATTTTGTGTTTACAAAACTGACAGTTAATCCAGTGTTGTAGCTGCCATCTGTTTGGAGGCATGAAGAAATGTAAAAATAATTTTTAAAAGTCTATTCTGTGATCATGACCCGTTTTTACTGTTAACTCAAGAAAAGGTTATAAAACTCTTAAAGGAGGACATTCTTGCAAAGGACCTGGATCACTTAAAGCAGCTTTTCTTTATTTAGGGGAGCAGGTGCAAAGCTACAAGGTTCAGAAGTGAGAATGAACATCAACAGCACTGTACCTTACCGGACAGTTTGGTAATGTGGCTCTGCTGCATGAGTGGGGTGAGATAACGAGGCTTGGCCTGCTGAAGCACACACAGAGACCAGACTGCATCCGTCTCAAAGGCAGGCTCCAGGTCCGAGAGAGAGTCTTCCAGTGCAGAGTGAACCTTCACGAAAAAGGCAACCATGGAAAAAAAATCTAAGACAGGCAGCAGAAGTAACATGATGAGTCAATTAAAAGATTCTGTATCTTTAGTACCTTGGTGTAAAACTCTTCTTCATTACTGGGCTGAAAGTTGAGTCTGGCAAAACTCATGAGCAGATTACAGAGCCTTAGAGTGTCGTAATTCTCACTGTTCTCTGTGTAATTCTGATGGGGATAAAAAATACAGTTATGCATCTAATATCAGGAGCAAGTTAATATTTCTAATTTACCAAAAAATCTGTTAGTATGTGGTGAGTGACTGACCTTAGCAAAAGCCTCAAATAAAGGTATGTGAAGCCACTTGAGGAGGCTAAAGGATTTAGTACAGCGAATGACGTCGAAGGGGCTCATCTCAGGAATTCTGGGTAACAACTCTGATACCAACCGCTGAAATAGCTCAGGGTTGTTGAAATTCAGCTTCCCTAGAGAGGAGCAAAAACAAAGCTGTTACTTGATACAGTAAAGATTGTAACTCAATGGACATGACTTTCATTTTTCGAGCATTTCATTTGACAGATTTCACCTGTGAAATTTGTTGACACAAACCTCGCCGAGTAAAAAAAATATATATATACTGCCTTGAGGAAATGTGGTCACATAGAAACAAGATTTCCTTTGCCATAATGTGAGATCTATTGACTGTATGTACCTATGGTGCCCTCTAAGTTGTATCAAATCAACTCCATCAGCAGCTGTAATTCTTGGCAAGTAAAGAGAGAGAGATTTGCTCAAAGTGCGTTGCAGTGTGTACAAATTTTGTCTCATCGTGGCCACTTACACAATGCATTTCTGCACCAGTGCCATAATGAATAACACTGTCACCACACCTTTGTATTTACATACATTGAAGCCTGCAATTGCATGACACAGGTGTCCTTGAGTGTGATTTTTCATCACATTAACAGTAATGCAGGAACTCAGGAAGAATGCCAAGTAAACACACAGTAGAACCCGCACACACACACACAGCGTTTTTCTGCCTAACCTTTCTACAATCATTACTGCCTCTGGTGGCAGATCAGAAGCAGAACAACTTCACCCCACCATTCTGCCTCCATGCAAACACACGAGAAGTAGTAGGGGTCAATATGTCCCCCCCTGAACTGCCAATGTGCAAAAACTTGTAGAATCTGTGGTCTGTATCCACACCTCATGGGCTCCTAATGCACGATAATTTTTGTGAACTGTAAGGTGATAAGTCCTGTGTTGGTAACTGTAAATGTTAAAGGTGGGGTAGGCAGGAATCTGTTAAAGAAGCATCTTTTTTTTTTTTTAGTGGTGTATATACAAAAAAGCTTTGAATATCAGTCTATAGCTACTGGTCATTGATGACATTTGGTCATATCACGATGTCACTGTGTTCTGTTAAGTCTGTGTAGATGACCTTTTTTAATTTTTTGAGCAACCCGCTCTTTCTGACTGTAAACAAAGCCATTCTCCACCTCCCCGACCTGATCGGTTGTAAGGCAGATGCTACTTCCCCGGAGTCGTTCACGAGCCCGCACAAAGTTATCGTGCGACAATATCGGACAGTAGAAATCAAACAGAAAATTGTCTGAATCCTCCTTTGGCCACGACTGCCAACAAAAGCAAGAAAACGAAGCAAATACCGGAGACTCTGGCGGAATAATGAGCACTTAAAAAGGAGGTAGACCGGACAAGAGCTAAATAGCTGGGTCAACATCAGCATAAATGATGGGGGACGCTTCAGGATCTTACAGACCCTGTAACCTTTCTGCTGGACAGGTAAACCGCTTTAGCAAAGTAAGACAAGTGTCTGTAACAGAAGTGTTTCTTATCAAATGAGACCTGCTGTAGCGTGGTGTAGCGCCATCGCTAAACTGTTGACCTCGGGTCCTGGACTATGTCACTTTATCCTCGTTGTGGAAGTCCTGTAAACATTGTGTTTGCTGGTAGTCTGTTGGCATCTACAGTAGCACCAATGCTTTTTACTTTCACCTTGACTGGGCCCCATTTTTATATATCTTAAGTATTTATCTGCATTATATCTGAATTTAACTGAAACGATACGAGCGAGCAGGAGCGTCTGTTTGTGGGCGGGGCTTGATGGAGCAGAGAGGGAGGGGAGCGGAGGAGCTGAGGGGAAAGCTGGTTGGGAGGGGTAGAGTTTACATTCAAGATTTCTCCTGGCACTTCCACAGATCCCGCCTACCCTACCTTTAAAGCTGAGGTGTCAATCTCTTTATCTGAACTGTACATTTATAGGGAAGCACTCTGGCTTCTGTGTAATACTGTTGCCGGCTGTATTGGCTGCCATAATGGGCCGACTGACGAGTACATGTTCTGTCCCAGTTCAGATAACAAATGGCTGCTCTTTCTCATCATTTTACACACAATGCAATGTTGTGTTTATTCAACCAGCCAGCTGCAGTGATATGCAACTAAGCACAGCTACAAATGCATAAAAATTCACAGATTACCCTGAAAACATCTTCATCCAAGGCCAAAATGGTAAGATTGCAAAGTGGTTGCATGAATGCCTTTGATTAATTTATTTAGAATAAGTAGGGTTCATACCGTATGCAAAAGCTATGTCAAGTATCAGTGGAGTGGTCAGCTCTGATGAAGACTTCTGCTGGAGATAGTAGGATAATGCTCTGAGCAATGGGACGGATCTGTGGTTCTGAGCAGCCATGGATACACAGACTTTACCAATGTCCTCTGCTGAGAAGCTCTCTGCAAGCTCCAGAACCTGAAACACAGTAATAAAGGATTTCAAAACAGTGCCAAATTATATTTAGGTTAAAAGTTAAAGTCACCATTTCCACAGATCTGAGGAAGATTTACAGAGCCTTGTTAATAGGCGAGTCATGTTTTGTAGTGATCTCTGTGGCCTCTCTGCATTTCTTAGATTTCCTACCTTGTGTTGCCATTCAGGGTCTAAGTGAGTATCACTATTTGTACTTTTTCCCATTATTTATCATCCTCATGGTCTTGCTCTATTTGGCACTGAACCAATTACTTTGTGTAGTATGTTTTTTAATTCCCATACCTTGTCTTCCAGTCTGCTGTACAAGATAGGTGATAGGCGCCGTCTGTTGGATATGAGTGTACTGACAGTTTTAGCTTCACTGATTTCAGTCCAGCGCAGTTCCAGCTGTTTTAAAGCAGTATTCACTACGGCCACATCCATCGGTGCGTCCCTGTTAGCCCCCCACTCTACCAGGAGGCCCAGATGCTTGCAAGACAACCTGCGGGTTCTCCACATGACCTCAGTCTGGACAGATCTGAGTACGGGATCAGACTTGGGAAGTTGCATAGCCCAGAGAGCACGCAAGACGGACACTAGAGTGCTGTTCCACACTAATCTCGTCTGGAAAGTAAACACAATGAAAATAATGGAGTATGAGCAGTTGGACACAAGGACTCAAGGAAGATACAGTATCTGCAACATTGTTCATCCTGCTATGAATGTGGCTTCCTTACCTCCTTGTTTAGTCTGTCCATCATATTCAGCAGCCTTGGATCTGTCATCACTTCTGATGGTTCATCCGTAAATTTGCCCGACGTCATTATCATCAACCTTGTCCAATATCTCAGGGCGTTACCAGCTTGATGACCATCACCTCCATGTGCCGCCCAGGCCGCCAGGATGCTTTCTGGCTCCACTGCATTCTCTATCAGCTCATCCAGCTTTGAGCGTTGAGGCGATAAAGGGAAAGTTTCTGGGTCTATAACTGTCCTTCCCTCACACATTAGCCTTTCTGTGACCCACTGCCAGCCCTGAGCCCTCTGCACCGCTGCAGAATAGGCACCGGGCGGGGACAGGCGGGCAGAAGCAGCTGCAGGCCGGCAGGAGGCTCTGCATAGCGTACTGGCACATCTGCCCAAGAAGCGGCTCGCCATCAGCTCTCAGAGGCAGGACAGGTGGGGAAGGAGAGAGGTGTGTCACAATTCAGGAGACAGGACCACCATCCTACATCCAACCTGAAGTGGAGAGTTCAGAAGAGTTTAATAACATGCTTGAAGAGTCGTCTGATCATTTTTTGATCAATTAGGGGAGAGTGGGGTAAGGTGAGCCAAAGGGTAAGTTGAGCCACCCCCTGCTGCTTGGAAATGGTAAAAGAAGTACAAGTTACAATTACAAGTCAAACATGATTGGATTTTTTACTTCATGCTTCAATTTTGTTCAACTCAGTATTTGGACGAGTCATTTTTATACTTTAGATTCCAATTTTAAACTTTAAGTCACATTTTGACCAAATATTTAGGAGATGGGCATCAATTCATGGAGTCTGTTAAGGTTAGAAGCTATTTTTGTTCCATATTTTTTGAAAAGGAGGTTGACAGTTTTGGTGAAATGTTGACCCTCTTTGGCCCTCAGGTTAGACCTAAATCCAGATTATGTCCCTTGCTGTGGTTGAGTTTGACACCCCTGACTCAGCCCATACACAGAATGAGTTGACCATAGGAGATCACTTTTTTTTTGTATGCTCTATTATCAAGACAGTTTTGTTTACACTCATTCTGTTGGTTTGCAGGGATGCACAACATGCTGAAATATATGCAGATACTCTAGTTAGAGACAAAACTATGATTACCTTGATGTAGTGATCCGAAATATAAAAAAATGGCTCATCTTACCCCACTCTCCCCTATCTGCTGCGACAATAACATAGCACGAAATAATGACATTATGTTAACCGAGTCCTTCCGTAATCCTCGTTATCGAAGGAGATCATGGTTGTGTTACCAGAACACCGGGACCTGATATCAAAAACCCCCCGTGCCAATAATCCAGCAAAGTAGAGATCAACTATCAATCTGTTGATGCATCTTTGACTTACACAGCAGCTGCTCCTCTAGAAGGACAGAGGTTTAGTCAGAGTTTGTGGTTTCTCTGTCATGATCAATCCTGACCTTGTCGCGTGAATCCACAGACAGCCTCTAACGCCGCACACTAACAGCGTTTCAACTCCGATCTTCGCACGGAGTCTGTTCTTTAGCAGAGTAAAATGCAGACTCGACTCACAGCACGGTAACTTATTGTGATAAAGGACTTACCAGTATTTTGTGAAAACTTAGTACACACATGTAACCGTCTGCTGTAGATAGTCGCAGAGTGATGACGCAAAAGCGGTGGTGTCACATGACCTACGGATCTGGCTGCGATTGGCTGTCGAAGTCCGACTCATTCCGTAATATGTAAACTCAACTTTAACCGTTACATAAACATTACTTTGAACATCAGGGATATTTCATTGACCCTTGAACACTATCGCTAAAATTAGTAACACCATCACTATCGCCGGGTGATTTTTACCCGAAATAATATACCCAAGAAAAAGTACTTGTCATCAAAATATATCAAAATAGGACAATACATGACAAATTAAAGTAGTTTTCTTTTATTTTTAACTGTGCAATGTCCAAAGGGAGGTTAAAGAAAAAGTGCCATGAGGGGACCATTTAAAAATGCAACAAAATAACTGAAATCAGGCATTCATAAACAAAAAATCCTAAAAAAAATAAAAATAAAATAAAAAATAATAAAATAATAATAATAATATTTAAAAAAAAAAAAGAAGAAACTGTAAACTTAGTTCCTTTTCACCCATTCCTGAAGATTCAGGGTCTTTGGCACAATAACAGCTGCAGGAGAGAGAAACAAAATATGTCATATTTTGAGTGAGTAAAAATGACCAGCTGACTAAAATATTTTTTAGCACCATATGAAATCCCTTGAAAATCACTACTTTGTGATAGTTATTCATAACTAAGAACTAAGCACTTTGAGGGGAAAAACATTTGTTTTACTGGTGAGTTAGTTAAACATCAAGGACGGGCTGTTGCTCACTTACAATGAGTTCTTACATTTCCAGTAATCCCTACAGAGTTTGCACTAGTATTTCATATTATCGTTATAATTATAATAATAATAATAATAATAATAATAATAATAATATTATTATTATTATTATTATTATTATGACCTTTATTTAACCAGGTTTGTCCCATTGAGATCCAAGATCTCTTTTGCAAGAGGGACCTGGTCAAGAATGGCAGCACATACAGTTTCACTACAATTATCACATTAATCATATAGGATACAAATAATAATTAAAATTTCAAAAATTAAAAGAATTTACAAGATTGGGCAAACATTTGCACTCAGATAAAACATGTGCACTCCTGAAGCCTGGATGTAATGGAATTTATCATGGATTTGAACACATTCAGAGATACCAGATTTTGGAGTTTCAGGTCTGATTGCAAGATGTTCCATATACTCTGAGCAGAAAATCTAAAAGCTTGCTTCCCCTTTTCTGTTCTGACCCTGGGAACAGTAAAATAATAAAAGTCTTGGGAGCGGAGACTGTAGGCCCTATTATTCTAGATTAAAGGGATGATAAATAAGATGGAGTCAGCTGAAGAACAGCCCTATAAATCAACATGTACCAATTCCTCTATTTTACTGCCTTTCAGATTTTTTTCAGGGACTTCCAACCACTGCAGTCTTCCTGCCTGACTCAGCTTGACTCACTCATGGGAAAAACTTCCTGCCTGACTCAGCTTGACTCACTCATGGGAAAAACTGCCCTGTTTCAAAAAGATACTGTTGGTATTCCTCATTGTTCTGTCCTATTGGAGTCGATTTGGAATTGACATTAACTGGAAAAAGGTCTGGATAATTCACCATCATTATTATATTACAAACAAGGTAAAAGAGGTATTATTTTTAAGCGTTACACTATTAATCACAAGATTAAATTAAAAAATACATAAACTTAGATTACCCATCCCAATACACTTTTGGCATTATCCCCCCCGTAGTCCAGTAAGTATCAGTGGAAAATAGATCAATGATAGCTTCCACACTTTTGTTACTTCTGTTATTATTGTGTTGCAATGGCACATATACACACCTGCTGAGAGAGGAGAATTAATCAGATGTGTTGGTAGTGTGAGGTAGACAGAAGAGATGCTTGAGGATGGGTGGAGTGTGTGATCCTTGGTGGAAAATGCAAAACTACCTCTGAGTTACTTCAAGCCTGCAGGAGGAGGAGAAATGAACCGCCGACCCAGTGGACATGCTGACATCATTAACTTGACTCAGTGCGGAAGAACCGCTGATGAGGTAGGATTGGCATCTGGTGTGATTGCTGATTAACTCCAGCGGCAGGCAATTTCACCCCCCATGACCTCTGGCTTTGCTGTGCTGCAGGGCATCACTGGCAGCACAGCTGTCAGGCTGGAGAATATGTGTGAGTTCAGCACATAATTATGTGGCAGCAGAAAAGGTGACTGTCTGTCCCTGAACAAGTAAACACAGACAGTTAATGCTTTCTACATTAAAGCAATCAAGCCTGTTGATACACAGAATACTTTGAAGGTCTTTCATAAATAGTTTAGTGGAGCATGTGGAGAGTGGAGAGTGAATTGATGCAGTTTAATGTCAGGCAGATGTGTAGAGACAACTTTGGTATAATCTTACTTCTTTTTCTCTATACAAGTTTATTAAAAAAACATGCTTAAGGAAACCAGATTTACCAATGACTATTTTTACACACAGCTTCTTGCAGGTGTGTGTGTATTAAGTAAAATGGTCAGAGGTGAACTGTATCCTTTTGTGACTTGTAGGGTTGTATGCTGGTAGTCGCATGACTCCAATGATGGTTCAGGTGAAAATCAGAAAATCAGAAACTGGTCACTGTAAGAGGGCTGTAGTTATTTTAAACCAATACTTAAAACTATAATTTTTTCAATGAGTTGTTTCATATAAGCAGATAAAGCATTGTCCTTTCAAACACCGTTTGAGAGACTTAAGAACAGAAAGCTGTGTTCAAGTGGGATGAAAGCAGAGCTGTGCTGGTTCATGTTCATGTGCAGCAGGGGTGGCAGTAGCTCAGGAGGTGGAGCAGTCGTCCAATAACCGGAAGGTTGGTGGTTTGATTCCCTCCTATCCCAAGTCTGTCTGTTGTGTCCTTGTGCAAGACACTTAACCCACCTTGCTCCCAGTGTGTGTCCTTCACTGGTGTATGATTGTGAGTGTTGTGTGGTGGTGGTCAAAGAGGCCGTAGGTGCAAACTGGCAGCCACGTGTCCGTCAGTCCGCCCCAGGGCAGCTGTGACTATTAAGGTTGTTTACCACCACCAAAAAGCGTGACTGTGTGAGCGAACGAATGATGTATCCAATGTAAAGCACTTTGAGGGTCTCTGATAAAGTGCTATTTGAAATCTGATGCATTATTATTATGTGCAAACAAGCAGATGATAATACCTGCAAATGAAGTTTATTACCGCTTCTTGACCCAAAACATGACAGAGAAATATATAATGGAATTTTATTTGCATTACATTTACACCTGATTTAATCCTGTTTATAAAACAGATCATACAGAGCAGTGTTTTCACATCTCAGTTTGTGTCAGAAAATAAATCCAGGTCACATACAGTCTGTTGTTTGATGATTGGCTCTATAATCCAGAAAAGTCTCAACAAGTGACATTTAAGATTTGTCGTCAGTTTTTTAATGCTAACTACCTATGGGTTTACTTCTTTACCTGATAAATATGGCTGCCACCTCCTTGAGGATGACCTTGACGTCATGTAAACATTTGACACTTCCAGTTTAAGTCCACATGAGCGCCTTTCTTGGACCACTTCTGCTTAGTATGTCTCTGTTCCCTACTCAACTTTCCAGATGGCGATTTTGCCATCATGACGTGTCGAGCCGCTCAGGACATATCGATCCTCAGCTGAGCAGAGCGTCTGGATGCTGTCTGAATGAGCCTGCAGCTCCTTTGTCACAGTTTGGCCCACTGAGTCCATCACCAGCACCTGACTTCTTAGCTGACCGTCACTCTGATCTCCGACACTGCTCCAGCCACGACAGCCCACCCAGATCTGAGGGGAGGAGAGGGAGCATTGAGGAAGAGCAGAAGTGTGATTGTTCAGGGTAAAAAGAAAGTGAAAGAGTAAAAAGGGAGGCATCTCGGATGTAAACGAGAAAAAAACATGCTTTGAGTGACTGAACCCCCCCAAAATTTGTGACCACTTTAAACATAGTAGGCAAAGAAGTGCAGCAATGATGCACAGTATTTGAGTGTGTCATACAAACATATCTTCTTTGCTTGTATTTTCTTCTTGATGCATTTTTTTATTTCACCACTGGTTTGCAACAAAAGATAAATTGGTGATGCCTGATCCCACAAAAACAGCATGTTTGACTAATGTTACACCTGCCACATTGTTTACAGTGTTAGTGCTTCGTATTTTACCTGGTTCTTGACTGGAATCATACAGGTGACTCCTGAACAACCTGACAGGGAGATCCTCTTAAAGGGATGTTTGCAGTTCTTGGTTTTCCAGAGACACAGCTCACCTAAATCTGCACAGCCAGTCCACAATTCACCTCGCTGAAACACACACAAACAAAAAAAAAACCCCTTTATTTGTAAAACTACTACAGGGCTATTAACTTTGTTAAATGAAAGAAATATCAGCTGAGAGTTGCAAACACACCTCAGGGATGTAAACAAAGCAGCTGAAGCAACTGGGCATGCTCCGTAGGTCGTCAGGGATTTCCAGCCTTCTCTGTAGCGTCCCGCTCTTTTTCAGTTCCACAATGCTGTCACCACAACCTGCACGCACGCACGCACGCACACACACACACACATAGTGACACTTTAGTTAAAAAAATAACTGTCACTTCAGTTAAAAAAATAACTGTCACTTTTTCTTGAAATGACCAGATACAAGCTCATACTCTGGTATTTGACTTCAGAGACGTTTAAGTCTAAACTAAGCGTTGAAGATTGCAGAGAGAGTAAATTAGGAAGTTAGCAAAAAGACCTTTCATACAGAGCCATAAATGCTAAAAATAGTGTCGGAATAAATATGAACACTCACAGCACCACAGCGAGCCGTCATAGATCTGTATGGAGGAGAGACGGTCACACCTGAGGTGAAAGTTTCTCGTCATTTTAAGACTGGCTGAGTCCCACTGCAGAATTGTCCCTTCACTGCTGCAGGAGTATGTCTGCTGACTTAGAAACACAGTTCGACTAAAAATTTTAGCCAGATCTACAACCCACACATGCTTCTACAATGCTGAAACACTTTTCCAGACATATTCAGACCCTCATTGATGTGTCTGTTATCTAACATTTCATCTGTAAAATCTGACATCCAAACCGGATCGTCCCCCTACCTGCTGTGTTGGTCTCTGCTGTCCATTGTGAGTCCAGTCACTTCATGTCTGTGTTCAGTCAGCTGTTTGTTGCATGACATGCTGTGGGTGTCAATTATGTAGATCGCTGAGTCCTGGGAGCCGATCCATACCTGATCATGGTTCAATCCCAGCATGCAGTTCTACACAGAGGTTGCAACACAGTGTCTTAATTTTATGTGAGCAAGGAAATAGCACTCTAACGGGGTCCAAAACTACTATATTCAAGTATAGTGTGCACTGTTCACTGTTTGTTGGAAAGTGCACACAGTAAATGTCTTATTGTGAACCTTTGAAGATCTCAAACTCTTTATCAAAACTTGAAAATCTTACAAGAAAACAGAAAAACACAACAAACTACTAATAAAAACGGTATTTAGTATTTGAACATAATTCACTTTCCAGTTCCCACTGGCTGTAACAGCAAAGACATAAAAACAAACACTTGCTTACTCATTATCACACTGATAATCTGTATTTAAGAGGCTTAACTTTGGCTTTGCTGAATTATGTTTATATAAACCAAATGCAAAATTTGTCAACCAGCTAGGAGCTGAAATGTTTGACTCATGAAAAGCAATTCAACACAAAAAAACCTCAAACTGGAGCAGCAAAAAAAAAGTGTCCCTGAAGTGATATATGATGACATCTGGGTCAGCAAAAGGCTCTTTATAACCTTTTATGACAGACTGTGATGAATAAACTTCCTCTTTAAATTAATGATACACCTAACGTTCTTGCACAGTCTCTCCTCACCAGTTTTGACTCTCCAACCTGGATGCAGACCTGCAGCATGGACCAGCTAGCTGCATCAAAAACAACCACTCTGCCCCCGCTGAGAGCCACCCACAGCTTCGGGTTCATCCCAGCCTTGGAGTCACTCCAATTCAGCTGACCTGCAGAAAGTAAGGAAGACAAAAAGAGTGACAGAGCAGAGGACCATTACAGTTGAATGTAAGAAGCGGTATATGCTAATTTTTTTGGCATTATGTTGCCCCTCTGATAGTTTCTTAGCACTTTGACATGATTTATATGATCAACATAATTCAGGCTGCTGTCTTTGAAAACTTTCTTCAGCTTCTGTCTGAGATGCTTCATCCAATCCAATCCAATCCATTTTATTTATATCGCATGATTTAAGCAAATGCAAGGTTTCCAAAGTGCTGCACAGCAAGATAAAAATACAATAAATAACACAACGGAAGCACAATAGATAAGGTAAAAATAAACACAGTAAAATCAAATAAAAACAAATACAATCAATAAAATCAATAAAATAATATAAATGAAGTTAGCCTCCTTCTGGGTGTTAAAAGCCAAGGAGAGGAGGTGCGTCTTAAGGCAGGATTTAAAAACAGGCAAAGAGGAGGCCTGTCTGATGTGCTGAGGCAGGCTAGTCCAAAGTTTAGGAGCTGCGACAGCAAACTCACGATCCTCTCTGAGCTTCCGCTTTGTTTTAGGCTCTCTCAGAAGCAGCTGATCGGCTGACCTGAGAGACCTGGAAGGAGTATAAAAGTGTAGAACCTCAAAGAGGTACAGCGGGGCGAGACCATTGAGGGATTTAAAACAAATAAAAGAATTTCAAAATGAACCCTAAAATGTATGGGCAGCCAGTGGAGTGAAGCTTCATGTCTCTTTAAAGCTTTTCATATTTGTTGTCCTTACTCTGACCTTTAGTCAATCCTGCACGAACATGAAAGATTTAACAGCGAGTGTCTTGTGACATAAACATAAAGTGGGACACAGCCATGAAGTCAGACAGAGACTCAAACAGAGAGGAAAGCTCACAGTCTATAGTTCCTTTTTTTGCAGAAAATGTAAAGCACATGATAAGTTTTCTGCTCAGACAGGGTTTCATTGTAGGGACACTGATTACTCATAAACACATTACATAGATACTTCTATAGTTTGAACAGTAAATGCACAAAGATGAGGAGACATGGTATTCTGCGTGAAATCAGGGTATTAAAAGAAAATACCGTAACTTTCTCTGCAGAGTACCTGGTGTGTATAGCAGCACATGTACAGTCTGAGGTTCAGGGAGGCCCAGTGAAGGGTTGATCCTGTGTTTGAGAGTCTCTGAGGTAGTTTCAGACACCATCTTAGGAGCTAGTTAGAGAAAAAAAATAATGCATATAGCACATCATAGGGTGTCTTCATCAAGAGTGTCCTTATCAAATTATATTATTGTATTCATTTTTAAAATTAGACGAAATGAAAGTTGTAAAAGAGGACCAGAGTGAGCTCACACCTCTTTGTTTGATCTTGTCAAAGTAGGCCAGCTTTGAAGCAGCAAGAATGGACCTCTGGGTCTGCAGGCAGCCCACGACGGCATCAATCAGCAGGACATTGGTCAGGGCTTGAGTCAAATACTGAGGGTCCTAGAGAAAGATAATACTAATGTTTGATTTACGGTTTATAAAAGATAAATCAAAATATCAAAGCAAATTCATATATTCCTCAAGCAGTAGCCAAGACAACAACTAATGTTTTGTCTGTTACTGACAAATTCTGAGAAATGTTCAGCCCAAAATTTCCAGATCTGTGACCTTGTTGTACCTTGTGTTGGTCAGCCATCTTACGTCCGGCCCACATCTCTTTCACCACAAGATTCCAGAGTTCAGCCTCCATCTTTAAGTTAGCCTCGAACACCTTCGGCCTGCTGGAGGTCTGGATACGCAGGGATGGAACACGACTAAGTAGAACAGGAGCTGTGGAAATCTTCACCTCCTGCACAGATACGTGAGAGTAACCTACTATTATTTACCTTGAACACAAATCCAGGGTAATATAGACTTCAGAGAAACTTTAATTCAAAGAAAATTCTTTATCTTTCACCTGTATGTCTCTGAAGTTTGTAATTTCTAGAAATCCTGGTTTTCCCTCTGTGAGCAAGAGCAGGCGTTTCTGTGTCATGGCAAGTTTTCCAACACCGTCGGAGGTCTTAATACAGGACGACACCTTGTAGATACACTCGCTGTGGTAGAGATGGTCTATAACCTCAGAGGGCAAGTTAACATCTTGTGCGTCAGCCTCCATCTCCTTCCAGACGGTGTAGAAATTTCTGAAAAGTTCAGGGTCTACCTGCTTTGGTTGGTCTTTCCCATTACCTGGGAAAGAAAATATTATATCATGAACAGGGGCCAAGGAGGCCGACAGAAAGACACGTCAACAGTGGGACAAATTCTGTACGGTTACATGCTGTGATCGTTTACATGAAGACAGGGAGATCTGCTACTTTGTTTCTTCATGATCAACTGAAATGAAATAGCAAACTATCTGAAAATCCGATTCGTCATTCTCCATGTTTTATTGCTCTTTGATTTTTGACATTTATCCATACATGACTAAATCCTAATTGTAATCACTGTATCCACTGAGAAATATCACGTCTAATCAAAGGATTTTAAGAAGTGAATGAGAAAAAAGTGCCTGAAGGATTTTTAAAGTTCAGAGGATTTAGACTACAGACAGTACAGAATAATCAGTGCTTTTCCTGACTCATAAGAAAATACAGATTTTCATATTGCATGGATCTGTATGAAAAAAAATCACATCAAGAATTCTAACAGTCATTTCTGAAATACACATTAGCATTCCTGTCCTCACTTACTGTCACTGAGAGCATCGAATAAACGGTGGATGGTTGCTAAGTCCTTAATAATGCCGCATTCCTGGACACAACGCACAAACTCTTCCTGATGCAGATTTTTCTGGGGGAGCTGGAACTTCTTGACATGGTCATCAGGCTGCACCAGCGGCTTCTCGTTCTCTGTCTTCACCTGACAGATGAAGACAGCATCCGTCATTCAGATCATCGTGAACAGAAGCAGACTTAACATCATCATCCACTATACTTCTACAGGGACTGGAGTCGTGTAAGTGACCGACCTTGAGGATGAGTCTCTTGAGTTCAGGTCTTTTGTCTACTTGTTGTCTCTCATCTTTGTGCAGGGAGTCCATAAGCCATGTGACCAGCTGCGTGGGGAAGATGTCCGTGTCTGTCTTATAGAGGTTTTGGAAATCACTTAAGGCATCCAGCCTCCGCAAACACAATGTGTTGATGAAACCACGCAGGTAGTAGAACCTGCAGAGGAAAAATGGTTAAAATCGAGGGTAAATGATATTTTTATATAAAAGGTAATGAATCAGAAAAGAAACCAGCTGAACCAGAATCGACCAGAAATGCTAACACACAAATAATGCAGACTACCGGGCAAGCAGAGCAGGATTCTCCTTCTGGGCAGAGAAGATGGCTTTCCCAAGCTGCTGGATCAGCTCACTGTAGTAACTCTGTGTAGCATGAAAGGACAGAAGGGTTGGAAATTCTGGGAGTTTAAACACCTTTACAGGCTTTGGAGGAGATCTCAGTGCTAAGAGATAAGACAGAAGGAGAATAAGGGAGAGTGAGATATCATGAGGATTAAAAGAAGGGAATAGAAAACAGAAAAAAAAGTCATTTTTTTTTTAGTTTTTGTCCACATCATCTTGCATCTGTCACACCGAAAATCCTCATCCAGTCTCACCAGGTTCAGGCATGAAGCTCCTGCTTGGCAGTGTGTTCCTGTGACCATTGGAAGTTTGCTCATCCATCAGGTTAGGTTCGCTCATCCCCAGTCTCTTACTGAGCTTGCCCTCAGAAGCGGAGCTCTTTCTGCGGGCTTGAAGCTCCTGCATGGTGGGTCTGTGTGGGACTTCAACCATGGTCTTTATTCTGTTTGACATGTGGAAGAATCAGAGAATGTGAAGGGAACATCTCGACTCAATTAGCATAAAGAAAGTATGTATTTTAAATTGTATTATATCTTTACATCTTTATATCTTGTTTCTTTTCATAGTGGTGTAAACAAAGAAATGTATTTGTTTCTTAATTACATCACTATGTTAAGTTCATGTTTCAGCTAAACCACTGGACTACAGATATATATGGCATGGCTGCTTTGTTGCATACCACTGGCCTTTTTTTTTTTTTGATCTATGCAGTGCTGGTCTTATCATATCATGACTAATTTTCTCAAACCCCCCTGAGGCTGACTAAGACATTAAATGAAGAGCTTTTGAACATTATTAGATGTTAAGTTCTCTTTCAAACATGTTTACTAACTTACTCCTTCTTCCCTGAATGAGAGCTGAGCTCCATTCGAGCAAAATCGTCCATTTTCCTGTTGAGGCGATCTTTGAGGAAGAAATGAAATATGTGGGTGTCCAACACCTGCATCACAAAGATCCATGTCAAAATAGCTATTTTCCTTCATAGATGTAAAAAAATACAGCAAAAAATGTGTCACTTGTTTTGTATTTTAAATGAGTTTTTACCGTCTTATAAAACAGCTGGTCAGATGGTTCTCTGGTTTTCAGGAACTCTTGACTGTTGAATACTCGATGCTCATAGTTCAGATGACCGCTAACATCCCTGTTATTAATGTAAATTTAATGCTGGTTTATTATATGATCATCTCATTAAATACCTATTAAGCAAAATACAACCTGAATATGTTGACAATCAGTTCTAGTGTGATCCTCTGGATATCTTGGTTAAGGTTGAGTTGCCATGCTCTTCTCTGTGCTCTCTGCTCACTGATGTCTGTGCTGCTTGTGTGGCTGCACTGATACATGTCAAAATGTATTTGCAGGGACTGACACCTGCAAGACATAGACACATTCAAGAAATTACTAACTGATATACATGTTATGTATGATACATATTTTATACCATATGTTACTGAATCACCTCTGAGTGAAACACTCTGCAGCAGCCTGGGGGATCTCTGGGAGACCAAGGGTCTCAGAGTGAGAAGTAGAAACACTTCCACTGTCGATGTTGATGAGGATCAGATCATCTGTTTCCTATGTGGAAAGAAAGGTAAAGGTGCAGCGAGTATGCAAGATATGATATTATTCAAGATGTCGGGCAACGACTGTGAGCAGGACAACAGAAAGTGAAAATTATTCTTTCAAAGCATGCAAAATGATCAGAGACTTAAACTTGGAAATTCTACCGCAGGCTTCAACATGTATTAAGATGCAGAGAAAACTCTTTCACTTCTGCTTAAAGTTAAATAGCAAAACTTGTCCTCTACTTTCATTTTGATCTTTTAGGCTGGACGTGCACTCACAGCAGCAACTTCTGGAAAGTGGCTGAGATGACAGCCCATGAGGAAGGCAGTCGGAGCCATGAGGAAGTCCAGCATGCCTCTAGACAAGACAGGAACATACGGCTGCTGCCATGAAAGAGGCTGGAAGAAATATGAGGGGAGATAAATTACAGTTAAATTGATGGACAGATGGAGGAATGCTTGGAAAATCTTGTAAAACTGCCCTTGACCATATAATGTTTTACGTTTAGACTTTTAAGTCTCTCATTTAACTGTGGCCACAACAAAACCTTATTGGTTTGATATCAATTAATACAATTTCAGAGTAAAATTCAATAAAATAACACTGTTGTTCCCTTTTCAGGTACTGTATGCTTACCTGAAGAAAAAGCAACAAGCTCTCTGCGACCAGTGTAAGCCTGGCCCAGTCAGAAGAAAACAGCACCACCTGTTGTTCCTGCAGGAGACTAGACAGCACCTACAGAGACAGATACCAAAAGAAGACAAGAAAACAGTTTTGAGGGCTAGTATGAGCCTCCACTGTCCATAAACATTCGAACAACAGGTGTGTGTGTGTGTGATACCTGCAAGAGCTGGCGTGGCCTGAAGCAGAGGAAAGGCAGATGGAGGTCTAAATCTATGACAGGGTGATCTTTGTCTTCTCTTGATGGTAACACAATGGTGAGAGGACGCAACGTAAAGGTCTAAAACATAGAATGTTAGAGTTAAGGTGCTGTTACAGATAAATGATACATGGAAATGGCAGGATTACATGTGCACACATACTCAGGTTTACAGCTGCTGTTACAACTAATACTGTGTGTCTATCAAATTTGTAATTTCACAAGGTTTCATAAGTGTTCACATCTTTGGAGAAGTACTGACAGGTGCAAAGTTTGAGTTAGGGTCTTATCATTAAACACATGTACAACACACACACACCAAATGTAAAGGTCCAGGAGGAGGGATGGGCACCAGTGCCAGTCTAGCTGCAAACTCCTTGACTCTCTCCTCCATGTCTGATAAACGACAAGTTCTCAGCTGGATTAACAGACTGAAGTGGAACAAAAACAGACATGAGAGATTAAAAGACATATTATTAACATGATGAATCACTGCAAACTCTAAATAAGAACAATAATCCCTGCAAAACATTTATACATATTTTCTGATTTATTTTTTTTTTTGAGGTAACTCTTGCAAAAAAGATAAAATAAGGTCAAAGACATGCTAACAAGTTCCCTTTAGCATTTACATAAACAGAAAATATGGCTGGAGGGGTTGTTTTTATAGGATTTAAAGAATGAATTCAAAAGCCAAGTACTTAAAGTCGCTCTGTTTCTCACCATGACAGACAGTCTTTGAGTGCAGTGAAGTAAGGGTACTTGGATATGACACAGACACTGTAAGCAGAGAAAAGCTTAGAGAACTTAGAGGACCCCACGCTGTTGTGCAAGCCAGACGTCCCCTCCTGTAAAAATCACACAAATCACATTCAATTGTTTACATTTTAGATTTTTGCTGATTTACAAAACATGCTGATTGGATTAGTTGCAAACTATTATGGCCTCTGTCGCTCCAGTAACATCTTATGATCGGGTTGTAGCAGTAAAATTGAGCTAACGTTTCATTGAACTGTATGAAAATGTGTAAAGTAACACATGTGCCAAACTGTACCATTACTGCTTTGGAACACTGCAGTACAACTCCATGAGTCTTGTTGCCAAGGACATCAGTGAAAACCAAAAAGTGAAATTGTTCATCCACCTGGTTGCTGGTTACTTGTAGCCCACCTGGTAAAAAGAAATTAAAACAGAGCATTTTGATGCGCATGTAGATGTGAAATTCTGCAACTTACATTTTACAATTATATTTCAAGAATGACTTTTTGTAAAAACAAAACAACAACATGATACTTGTCAAGCTTTATGTGTTTATGTATAGTGTACATGTGGCCGTTTACAAGAGAGTTTTACATGACTTATATGTTTGTATGTGTGTCGGGTTATATCAAATACCTGGAAAGCAAAGATGAGGTAGAGCCATGAGGTCAATGTCCCTAGGAACACTTAAATCTTCACCCCCTGGAGTTACAATGACAGTAAATACAATATACTTTTTTAATGTTAACAGCTCAGTGAGGAACATATGAGTGAAATTCAAAAGACCGTTTAGAAACCCTGCAAAATACAACATTTTGAACTTTCTATTCAAAGATCTGTTTGGTTTGGCACATGTGTAAAGAAATAAATCAGTCGGACAGGTAGCTACCTAAGTTGGGAGTTCCTGCAGCTGAAGGTTTGTCCCTCTTTCTTCTGACAATGGAGCGCCTGAACTTCCCATGTGGCTTCAATGCTTCATTCTCACCTTGTGGTCGGCTAACAAAGGGAGGCACCAGGACTCGAAGCACCTCCGGCTCCAACACTAAATGCTCTGGACTGCTGTGATTGTTAATGAGCTGAAGAGAATATGGAAAAAAGGACCAGCTGGGTATTATATAAGTATTATTTTGCAACAAAAAGGCTGGGTAAAATTGAAAAAAAAAAAAAAAAAACACTTGGAAATCAAGTAAAAAAGTATGGAGGTTTTGTTTTAATTCAAACTAAAAACAACCTGAGATATCTTTATCATGTTGTTTCTCAGGAATCAAAACCACACATCTTTTCTCATATTAGTTTTGCCCTTTGGTCTTTAGTAAAAGTTTGTACCATCACTGGATTTTGCTCCTTAATCAGTTGAAGAGCCTAAGAGCTTAATCCAAGATGGTTTTTAAAGGTATTCCTCACAAATTGGGCCAAAGCTTCCAAAGTTACAACTGTTTCATTGTAATCTCAGAGGTATACAAAGATGATCATCCAAAAAAGGGTCTGAAGCTACAAACACGCGTTCATAATTTAATGATGACAACATTTTCAGTTTACAGTACAACCATCAGAGGTGCTTTTGAATTTGTTTAAAAGAAAATACCTGGCATAACTCCCTGAGCTTGTCACTAGATGCCCCGACTACCACACAGGCCTCCAGAAGGACAGGAGGCAGATGGTTGGCCATCCCCGACAGCAGAGCAGGATCCAGCTAGAACAGCAGAACCGGGCCAAGGGTCAACTTACACCTGCAGGATCACAGCCACAGAGAGAACTGTGAAAAATGGGAGAGGCAACAAAGCAGAATAAAACTTCACAACTTCAGCTGGTGTGTCCAATAAGCAAACAGTCATAGCAGCCCACTTCCCATAAGATGAACACCAGGAGTTTCGCTACAGCCAGCCAGAATTTTTCTTCTGCATCAGAGATTTTATCTCATTGTGTACTTATAATTTTCTTTTTTTTACATTTATTTAACTAAGCTGCATTTCAATTCACTTATGTTACCCTTCTGGGGTCACACGGGGAAGGAGCCCATCCAGGCAGAGTAGGGGAGTGTGGGGTACGATGAGCCATTTTTCATATTTCAGATCACTACATCAAGGCAATCATAGTTTTGTCTCTAACTAGTGTCTCTGCATATAATTCAATACGTTGTGCATCCCTGCAAACCAACAGAATGAGTGTAAACATAACTGTCTTGATAATAAAACATGCCAAAAAAAGTGGTCTCCTATGTTCAACTTACCCCGTGTATGGGGTAAGTTGACCATAGGAGCGGGGTAAGTTGAGCCGTATCCCTACAACCCCCCCACTCTCCACCCCAGCCCTCCCTCACCTTCTCTCTCCCTAAATAACAGTCACTTCTTCATATTCATGTGAATTTTTATCTATTATACGCTATTCAACTGGTACAATAATTCTTTTTATTATTATTGCATATAACTGATAAAAAGCTGTTTTGTAAAAAGCTATTTTAACACGAGAATGTCTTGAAGTGATTCAGAACATTCACAGCTGTATTTTTGGAAAGAAAAAGTCAAACATTTCAACAATCTGAACTGAAACTCTGATCCTCTTATCAGACTTCTTTACTTTCTCAGTTAGCCTAGAACTACTATTGTGACTGTATTAGTCCTCTAAGCTAAAATGGGGAACTTTCATGCTACGTTTTTATCTGGAAAACACACACTTGACCTACAGATAAAACAGCAAAGACCCCTCAGAGCTGGTGCTGGTATAAAGCTATTTTAACATGAGAATGAAAATGAAAAGGAAAGTATCACATTTCAACAATCTGATCTGAAACTCTGATCCTCTTATCAGATTTCTTAACTTTCTCAGTTTAGCCACTGGCTCAACTTACCCCAGAACTACTATTATGACTTTATTAGTCCTCTAAGCTAAAATGGGGGACTTTGATGCTAGGTTTTTGACCTCATGTTGTAGTTCATAGATACCGCAAATTTAAAATGATCTTTTTTGGTCTGAACACAATTCTAATAAAACTTATCACAGACTAAATTCACTTTCAAGAGTGAAAAATGTTTTTTTTTTAAATAAATAACCCCTTCACTCATGTGCTTCTAACCTTCACAGACCCCATGAATTGATGACCATCTCCTAAATATTTGGTCACATGATCAATTTCTTTTACCATTTCAAAGCAACAGAGGGTGGCTCAACTTGCCCTTTGGCTCAACTTACCCCACTCTCCCCTCCACCTCGGACAGGTCACCAGTCCGTCAGTGGCAATTTAGAGTGACCAGTTAACCTGACAAAGATGTCTTTGTACTGTGGAAGGAAGTCAGATACTCAGAGGAGAAAACCCAAGGATGCATGAAAATTAGTTTCAGTGTAAAAAAAAGGATAGACATTTATCTAAACATGGCTTACTTCCACTACAGGCTCCGACCACTTCACTTTTGTGTCAGGAAATACTGACTGACTCTTTCAACAGGTGAATTGTGGCATAGTTAAAACTAGATCTGTCACTTTAACAACACCCATGAAAAGTATGAGTTTGTTTTTCCAGTGAGACTCTAGTGTGTCACAATAAATCACGGTCACACTACTAGCGTATGTCTCAAAACTACATGGATAACTTCGACAGACAGATATGAGGCAACTAATAACCATTCCTAAAAGTTCAGTACAATCACAAGAAGTTTTTTTTAAAACCAGTTTAGCTTAAACTGTTTTATTGCAACATGTGACAGAGTCACAAGTTTTACTGATAAGAGGATGCTTCGGTCTCGCGTCTTTTCCGCAACAATTCTGATCAGAACGAAGACTGTAAAGGATCGATAAACAGCCTCCCATTCAGAGTCTGACTTGGTTTGTAGCTGACCTACCTCCCCGTGGACTGCCGTGATGTTCCTCACTGACGTGCCCCTCTTTCTCTCCTCTGCCCCTCTGCTCTCATTAATGTGCGGCAAACTTCAGCTCTACGAGACGGGACGAGCTCTCCGTGGTTCCCATGTTTACAGCCTGTCACTCTGCTTCCTGTTCGTGTGTGTGTGTTTGTGGAAGCACAAACATGCGCACTATAAACCTGAGGCAGATGAAATGTCACTTTTGGAACAACACACTTTGTGGGAATTTCATGGTCATTACACTTTTTTTAGATAATTAGACTTCGTTTGTAATTGTAACATATTTGGAAAAGACAGAAACTTTGTGACCAATGTAAGATTGACTGATTGTAATATAACACGATAACAATCATATCTATGTATTTTAAACATTAGTTAATACTGATTCTAAAAGCCCCCGTAAAAAGGTATTCTCTTTAAAATCAAAATACATTTATAAATCACGTGAAGTTAAAATTTTACACCTTTTAATCTTATTGTAATACCTCCTTCTGGCCTGTAGGTGGTGGTAATTTACTAATTGAGTATCAGACAGCATTAACGTGTCAGGAGGCAATCCAAGTACTTGGAGCTTATATGTGGGCAGAGGCTCATCTGTTTTCACCCACTTACCTTGATGGGGTCTCCAGAAAGGCTTACGTGTTCCCATTCCACCCCAGTCTTTAACTGTGTTTGCTTTGTCACACCTATTATGACCATTGCATACAATACTACAATTTGTGTTGAATATAGTGTAAATACTTGTATATTATCTCTTTACTTTTACTTATTTTATTTATTATTTATCTCCTCTTTTTACTGTATTTGCACTGGAGTACTGTGACAAAAGCAATATTAAAGTATTTCTGATTCTGATTCATTATTCTCCATTTTTCTCCCCTAGTTTTGTGAAAAAGTTACTCATTGATTCGATACATCAGGACAATCTCAATGTGTGATCCTTTAACCAGAGTAAAAACACTGGAGTATTAAAGCTCAACAAGGAAAGGCCTCTCGCGAGACTTTGAAATCAGGAAATTTCCAGCTACCCATGATATGGCCTAAATCTCCATGGTGAGATCCAGGCCCAGGTAGCTTTGCACAAATAGGCCTCTGCTAAGATTTGAACCCAGGACCTACATATTGTGGAGCATCATTGCTAACCCCACCCCTTGCAAAATTTCTTGTGCAAGCTTATCTACTAATACTTGATCTGTCCCAAAGTAGAAGTATCCATGACTTTGCAACTCTACACAGGCAGGATTAGAATTCAGAACCCACCTGTGCTTATCTCCATAGCAACTCACTGCTATGCAAGGCTTTATGTTCCAGTTTATGAAATTTCCATTACATTACTGTCCTTCAAAAGCATGTTCTACATTCCTGTGATAGGTATACAGCGCCAATTGCATCAGAGACAGATTACGGGCTGGTTTCCTTTAATCTAATCTGTTAGTGTAATTTCTTACCCTCTGTTTTTTTTTTCAAAGCGAAAATATTAAAAACATTTTTCCTCAGCCCACTTACTCCTGGCTTTCTTTTCTATTAGATTTCATTTAATTGGATATTTTTTCTGCACTTTTGAAAGTGATAAGAGACAAAAAGAATTCAGAATTCAGAAAAAAAAAGAATTTTTTATTTCAATACCAAGGGGTCTCTACCTCCAGGTACAAAAACAAACAAACAAAAAACAGACACAAACGTGAAGGTGTCTTCTTTGTCTTTTTCACATACTCGGTACAAAATAACCTTGTTTTTATGTATTAAGATTGAACAGCAGCAGAGAACCAATATCACTTAAAAACACGCCAGTGATGAACTTTCAAACGAAAACAGAGCATCAACTCAGTCAAGTCCTAAAATAAAATAAAACCAATTTCAATATGCCAGGTCACATTTTTTAGGCTGGGAACAATTGAAAAAAAAAAAACACAACAACACACTCAGGCATGACCTGTGAATTATTCACATAGACATTTTTAAATAACTTTTTAATTTAACTATAACTTATCACTGTCTTTTCAATAAGAGATGAAGAACTTTAAAGTATGATGTTCCTTTTTGTAAAGTTAGGCTGAGAAACTGCTGTAGCCTCGTGACCTCAAGCAAAAAACATCTTGAACGTAGACAATGCTGTTGCGAAATGCAAATCTGTGTAATTTCCCCACACTTTTCTCACTTCTAACTTTGTTTCATCTTACTCTAACTGAGAAGTTCCTGTGTTAATCTCTGAGATCATAACACACCAGCTTTAGGATTTTCAAGTATGCATAGATCACTAAATGGCCTTGCACATGTGCCCCTCTCTGCTACACAGCGTCATTCTTAGCAAACTTAAAAGGTGCTCAGTGAATTTAAACTTAGTCTATATTAAAGGGCGACAGGGCTCTACTAAAAGACAAGGACACTGCGCTCGTCTTTTGACGCTTATTAAACTGTGAACACTGCACTAGGAGTCTGATTCTGCCATTATGTTTAAGCATCGCAGAGACTAATCTAAACACTATCCTGCAGGCTGTTCAAAGGTCAAAACAATACTGTACTGTTTCTTTGCTTTCTCTTGTGTGTGTTATTCTGAGGTAGACAGAAATGGACTGGAACAGTTTTGAATATGAATTAAATGGAATGTTTGTTTGAGATTTTAAAACCCATTCAGAACAAAGCAAACTGAACACCACCCTGTTTTCCTACGAATCAAACTCAAACCTAAAACCGCAAACCATTTACACATGAATTCCCAAATAGGTCAGTGAACATAATAGGAATCCAGAATTACTGAGAACAGTGTTATTAAAGGGCATTCCACATTTTAGCTGGATGGTAATTGAACTAAATTATTCCAGATGACAAATTCATCTGAGGACCAAAAATGAAATGTCAAAAATGCTCCTTTAATTCCTGTATTGAGTTTTTAACTTGCTTAACAAGTAGACTGAAATTAACATTAACACCTTTTAATAGAGAAAGTGAGAACATCAGGAGAAGTTATTTGACATCTACCCCCCAGCAGAGGTAAATGTCAGCTGTAGTTATTGACTATTCGTACACTAGTCTGTCACAGAGGGATTCAGAAATAATAATAAATCTTATGCACGTACTGGACAAATAAGCAAAAAAAAGGCAGGTACCACTTTGTCCACAGGAGGCATCAGAATCAAACAAACCTAAAGTTCCTCACAGTAGATTTAACTGTGTAAATTAAATGAAGTAGTTAAAATACAAATAAAATTCCCCCCGTGTCATATGGCATTCTGGGTTTCAGTGTTTCAGTATAGGCAAGAATAACAAATTATTCTTAAGAGCACTTCTGGGTGCACACTAGCTCTTTGTGCAACAGGTTCCAGCATCTAAATTGTGAATTTTTGACAATCTGTGTGAAATCTTTAAATGTCTTGAGATGGAACATGCCAAAGGATTTACCTGCAGCTCTGAAAATGTCTGGCTATTTTAAACCAAACAACCAGGGACAATTACCTCTGTCATTAGTCTACACGTAATACAGAGGTATAAAAATAATCCCTTTAATAACGTTTGATTGCCAAAAGCAGAGCATCTGAGGTAAAAAGTCTCAAGTGATATTATTTTGCAGCCTAAGGGTTACAGGAATGATCAGGGGGGAGACAGAAAGTGCTCTGTGTGCTTTCCAATTTCAAATTGAAGTTAAAGCTTTCACTCCTTTCAGTAGTCTGAGCAAACCTTGATCATTCAGTGTCATTGCTTTTTCTTGTTTCATGGCTTACTTCTCTCAATCTAGACACCCAAACATTTTTTTTAGGCTTGAGGTAGCAAAACAAAAGAACAGCTGCCAAAAACAGAGAGATTTCCGTCATCCCCATACTCCGGGGTAATTAAAGTGGCCAACCTTCTGACTTTATTTTTCTCTTGTACTCAGTAAGGATAAACCTGAGAGTTTCAGTGCATGTTCATGTTCAGGCAACAGAGTGATTGCCTGTCTTCTTCAAACTGTCTCCATCTGTGAGGTTCAGCATAGCAAGCCTCTGCTCATTGGTCCTTTCTCCGTTTGAATCTGCAGGTACACTGTCCAACACCTGGTCCTGCTCGGGACTGTTGGGTTCGTCATCCGGATAAATGACCAGGAAACAGGCAGTAAGGAATCCAAGGAAGGAACCCACTGAAGCCACTGCGGGAATTACTCGCACACTGCCGACTGCTTCTACCACAGCTCCGAGGGCTGATGCAACCAAAATCTGGCTGATATAGACCTGTTTGTCAAACAAAGTAGAATCATTCAGCACAAATTCAAATGTGTAATGATTCCCTTAAAATAAACCAGAAAGCATGGGGGTGATTACAAAAAATCAAAGAACACAGTCTATCTACAGAGCCCGTAGGCAATACGCTGGTAGGCATAGTTTATTCTTTGTGTGTGTGTCAAATTCAGATGCTTTCCGGTCATGAAGAAGCTCAAAGATGAGAGATCAGGCTTAACCAGTTTGAGAGCAGATCTCATGGGGTGTAGGAAGTTTTATGTAGAAGTAAAAAAAAAAAGTATGTTTACCGACCTGACAGGATAAGATAGCACAGTCAATACCAAATCCTCTCTTCGTGTTTGCTGGACTGTGGTGAATGTACTGAGGAAAAACAGCAAGGGAGCGACTGTTAGTTCAGATACACACCCTGTGGACCTCCAGTCACTGCATGTACAATGTTTGTGGTTGAAGTTTCACAGCAGAGGCTTCAAGCAAAATGTGAGACAAGTGTGTGCAGGTTTGTGTGTGTGTGTACTTACCTCTTTGATTTCATGGTACTGCCCGAGTAAGGCATAAGGACAGTAGGAGATGCTCATTGATATGATACCCATGCCACTGATCATTATCATGGCAACATAAACATTAGGGAAGATCGCCATGACAGCAGTTCCTAAGGTAAAAGGGAAAGATCTGTTAACACTGAAACCTTGCCTGCCATTCTGGTTATCTATAATGAAAAGCAACTGCTTTCAAATCCTCTTTATTGTTATATTTCGTGGTTTAATCTTAACTGGAAACTGACCTGTTGAGAATCCCAGAGTTCCAACAATGTAGATAACTTTAATGCTGAAATCAAAGTTATCCAGGGACTTCTGAAGGATGGCTGAGGGAACAGAGAAGACAGACACATTAAATCTAGGAGACAGAGTAGGGAAATGGAAGCCAGCAGTGCCGTTGCGTCATCAATCATTTGTTTGTGCAGCAGTTAATAAGAAAGGGTTTGAGAGTGTCTTTTACCAGAGCCGACTGCAGCTGTAGCAGCATAGACCACCAACCCCCAGCAGCCCATCTGCACTCCTCTGTGATAATTTTGGAGCTCTGTGGAGTTGGATGGTGCCTAAAAAGAATGAAAAAACAAAACAACTTTGTTCATTTGGCTCAATGTTCCTTCTACGATAAGACTCACTAAGGCCTGAAAGTATGGACAAGCATGAATGTGCGTGTACCGTTGGGTCTCCGTTGTAGATGACTTGCCCCATGAAATCGGTATAAAACACAGCCTGAGCTATGTAGGAGAACCATGTGAGGAGATGACACAGACACAGTCTCCACAGCTGCTGTGGCATCTGTCAAGGACAAGGGTGAAAGATGGGGTCAAGAATGGAAGGGGAATATAAAGTAGGAGTTTCAGCAAAAAAAAAAAAAATGTGTATAAGAAAAAGAAAAGACATAAAAATGAGAAACTTTTTCAGCTTCATTTCACCTTCAACATGGATAACCAGAGCAGCTTCACTGTTGTACCCCTGCCTGCTCCCCCCTCTGAGCTGGAGCCCTCAGATGACAGACTGCTGACTGACAAGTGGAACACCCGCTCATCTGCACGCTGCTGGAGGTGGGTCAGATCATTCAGACTGCGGGAGGTAGTGATTGGCTGAGGGCTCAAAGGTGTTGACCGTCGCGGCCGACACCGCTGGGATCTCACTCGTCCATAATAGGAGAAAGTACAGGAGGGCTAGAGGGGCCAAAAAATACAGGTATCAAGTTTTCAACGGTTGAAAAACTTTGATATCAGGAAAATAACTTAGCAGAACGATTCGAAAAACAGAGTGTAAATGTACTTGTCTGTATAAGACGTGAGGGTGCGGCCGTGAGGAGCTTGAGGGGCGAGATGGTAGCCTGGGGAGGACGCTTCCTGCAATTGCACTGACACCATTGGCAGCCTTAACCTGCGAAGACAAGGATAAACAAGGATGTACATGTTAGGCACAGAAAGAAAAAGAAAGAGTTTCTTGTGTTGCAGATTTTTCCCGGTGTTATAATTTTAGCCAACAAGAATAATTTCACCTGTGAGTCTGCTGAGCCACAACGGATCTGAAGGAGAGGAGGACGACTATTTGTTGAATCCTGAAGCTTAGGGGAGGCTGGATTTGCAGGCTCAAGGACCGCCATCCCATCAATAATAGGTGGTGATCCACAACCAGGAGATGGGGATCTGATACTGTAGTCTGATGGTTTGAAAGCATCATCCAGGTCTCCGTGTGTATCTGGTAAAAAGTGGTGAGCCTCTGGCAGGAAGATCTGCCGGTCTGGGTCGAGGTCCGGATCCAATTCGATTGTAGCGTCCGGCATTGCCAAGACCGAATCACTTTTACTCCGTACTCGCTCCACAGCAAGAAAGTCCCTCTCGCCATCCTCAGCATCTGATTCATTGTCTCCTCCGGACGGGGCTTGGGCAGACCCATCATCCTCTACAATCACGTCGAGAAAAGGTGGTGTTTGGCTTACAGGCCTGAATGAACACTGGCTGGTTGTCTCTCCACTTCCAGGGGCTTTGAGCTGGTCCGATAGGACTAAAGGTTGCTCTGGGATACTGAGCATGTGCAATATGACAGAGATGATGAAGATGATGGCTGCAAACATAAAGAGGACCTGCTCCTGGGATCTCAAAGCTTGGCCCAGTGCTGTGCCAGTCCAGTCCAGACCTCCCAGCATATAGCCCACAGCCCCTCCAAGTCCTGCAGAGGCATGCACATGCACAGATACACAATGACTATTGAGCAAGTCTGCAAAACAAGGAAAATCTGGTTATGTCTGTGTGTGTTTGTGCTCGCCTTACCAGCTGAAAAGGCATGAATATTCAGAGCCATATCTTGCTCCTCAGTGTCAGCAACATCAAGAAGATATGCTCTGATTGGGCCGTCTGAGGCATCAGCACAGAAGTCCAGCACCACCACCCCCAGTACAGTGAGGACAATGCCAATTGGTTGACTGCTGGGACGGTCACCGATAGAAAGGCCTGACAGAAGCCCCCAAAAAAGAGAGAGTTAAATAAATGTCATTTGCACTGATGATCTCATCTATAACCCGCTACTCACCAATTAAGGATCCATTTAAGAACAAGGCCACTCCCAGCAGCACACCTACACACAGGGCCAGGATGAACGGTCTTCTCCGGCCCCATCGCAGAGTACAGCGGTCACTGGCCGAGCCAATCAGAGGTGTGAAAAGGAGACCCAGGATTGGACTAAGAAACCAGGTTAAACTGTAGTATTGCTCAGGAAGACCTACAAAAGACATATGAATAACGAAATGTCAGGGTCAGCTTGTATTTAGGCAAAAATAGAACATTGGCACTATAGATGAGTGTGTGGTTTTATTAGCTGATGGATGAACCCTCACAAAGCACTTAGTGCAAATAAAAAAAACAGAAATCAAACCTGAAACATGGAAAAAAGATCAGGAGTTTGTTGCACGTAAATTAAGCTTCGTGGGACTATTTTTACAATGAAGGCAGCAGAACTATGATTACTTTGCACTCTTTTTGTCCACGGTTTGATATTGAACTACATCAAATGCTTCTGTTGAAACTAATTTGAACTTTTTAAACAACCTTTTTCTGTAACTCAATCGTCTTGCTCAATCACTGATGATGTTATAATACGAGTGTCAGGTGTTTTTTTTTGCAATAACCGACTCATTTACCAGACCTTATCTTGTCATCATTTAATAAAACTTTACTTAAGAAACCAGTGATACATTGGTCATGCAGCTACTTGCATAAGCAACACATACCTATTATCTGGGCAGAAAAGCTTTCCTGGTTTTTGTTCACAGTAAAGTGGAAATATTCCTTTGAGACAATGACCGTTACTGAAAACATTGCGAATGAATGATGCAGTTAAGGAACTACAGTCGCTATTAAACAGCTTCCTTTACCCACAGATTTCAGGGTGGCAGGAACATTTGAGAAAATGAGATGGCCTGTTACAACAATTCAGACAGAAATATGCAACAACCAGTCAGGAAGGTGTTGAAATTGCCTCCTGCTGGTTTTCTGATAAGACAGAACTAGACTTCATCATGCTGTGAAACAGGAAACACTCATTCTTACAGCTGTTTAAACACCCATGTAGTTGGCAGTTTTCAAATTTACTGACCTTCCAGAATAATATGTTAAATTTATGTGATAGGCTGGATGTAAGGGTAAAAATACTGCTTTTTTTCGTTATCTTTTTTTCCACCCCATATAAAGGGGCTGGCTAAGTGAGCTGGATAGTTCTCACGGGAACAACATGCTACCCATGCTGCCTTGCTCCACTCCTGCTTTTCCCTCTCCGTTGTGTCAACATACCAGTAGAGGTTTTACACACAGCAGGAAAAATATCTTCCTTCCTTTTTCTGTCTTTCCCTTGACTGCTCACTCTCTCTTTGTCAGTGTCATCCTGGGCATCAGGCATGACTTTATCACCCTGAGAACTTTTTGACCTCTTTCAGCACATAGACCCCCTATTTTTTTAAAGAGTGGCCCTTTTTAGAATCGTCTCATACCGGATTGGGATGCACATGCAAGCTCAAGCTCAAGAGCTGAATGGTACTGCGTGTACAGCGTGTGTTTTTACAGTGTTGACGATTTAGCGAGGCAAACCCCTGAGGCTTATGTTTGAACTGTGCAGACTGATAGCTTTTCATTCAGGCTTCACACGGTATTGCTGGGAAGGTGATGTTGACACATAATGCTGCAAAATTGAATTTCAGAAACAAACTATTAAAGCCGTACGGGTTCTTTTAACTTTATGCAAACTTTGGAAATCAGACGTTCTAAAAGTAATTCAAGTAAGATGAGAGACGAGTTCTTTCAACTTTTCTGCCTATAAATCTATTACATGCTACAACCACTTTACCATGAAGGTCTGGCCTTGGAGTCCAAGCTACTGAAAAAAAAAAACAATTAAGTCTAGGGACATACAAATCACTATTACTGATTTATACACCAAATTGCTTTTCTATTTTCACTTGATCACTAATATGTCAGTATTGCTTCATGGCATTTACGGTTTGGTTGACAGTCTTTTTCGATTCAATTTTTCTTACAATATTGTGAATGTGGGGGAACACAGTGAGACTAAAATGTGCTGTGTCTAACATTCTTGACATACCTAGCCAGGGAAAAATGCCATTGTTTGGTTTCTGCTATGGTAGCAAACCTTACATCTCACTGTATAGCCCCCCCGATTAGCTACTCCTGGGCACACAGGTTACACGACACTGGGGGTGCAGCACTCTGAAAGCAACATCAAATCTGGCTTCTCTGTAGCTTTGTTATGTAATTGGTAGGCATCCCCTCACACTCAAGTAGGGTCAAACAAAATTATATATGATTTTTTATTACATAGAAAGAATGAGAAATAGCAAAATGCTCATAGCTAAATGAGTGACTTGATATTCATAAGGAACACTGTCAAGGATATGTTAGCAAGATACTCAACAGGGTAAACACTGTAAAAATAACAGCTTCGAAGCACCAGATGACAATACTGATAGTACCATCACCCAACCACTGTGTACTTCCAAAGTGGAAATTCCAGTGTTGCAAGAACTGCAGAGTTTTATTGTGAGAAATGTATGACAGAGTGACAGCATGCAGTATATCATGTCTGTCACTACAAGGTAGTAATATATCTCCTTACCGATCTGCAGCAGCACTGGCGTCACCAGGGCAGTTTCCATGGCATAACAGAACTCGCGTCCGAACATCACTGCTCCATGCATCACCCAGCGATACAATGGGATCTTCACACCCTGCCCTTCCTCATCCTCCATGTCTATCTCATTTTCACGGTCTTCTTCCTCAGGTTTCCCTTTCTCCAAAAGACCAGGAACCTCCATCTTCTCTGCTTCTCCTCCCGTCTCAGTCTGGTTTGACTTAAGAGGAACCATCTTTATTGCTTGATGGTTGGTATATTTTAGTGTATACCACTGGTCAATTTCTTATTTGTTAAAGAACTGGTCTCTTCTTCTATTTTAGTAGAAAATGTTATGTCCATAGTTTGTGTCCTGATCTCTACTTTGTAAGAAGATATCTGGAACAATTGTAGTGTAAAAATCTCTGCAGGTCAAAGTCTTCTGTGTTCAAAGTCAAAAAGTTTCTTCCATTTGCAACAGGAGTCATTGTTCTAATCCAAAAAGTCGATCCTTTCCTGGCTATATTCCGTGGATCTCATCACATGGTGATTAAACCAGACTATCAAGCATGGCTTTGTGGCTCAGTGGAAGAGCAACTGTTCCTCTCTGTAGCTTGCAAAAAATCCAAATTCAGAAGGAGCAGAGACTTTCTGCACAGCTCCAGAGGTATGTAGAGTGCAGGAGGGAGGAAGCGTGAAAGGAGGAGGGAGAGGAGGGTGGTGATATGTGTTGCTGGTTTCAGTGGCTATGTTTACGGTGAGCTGTTCAGTGAAACAGGTCTGAGAATGTATTTGTCTATGTGTGCAAAAGTAGTATTTGGATTGTGCAAGATGATAGTGTGGGTCAGCAGAGGTCTGTATGCATGCATGCACTCGTAAGGGCACTTCTGTGCAAGTCAGGGTCAAAGCATGTGGAAATGTTTTGGCGAAGACCCACTAAGTCACGCAGCAACCTGCAAAATAAACATTACAGCAGTCAGAAAGAAAGCTGAAGCTACAGATGAGAGCAGCAAGCAGAGAAAGTCTTGGTGTGAACATTTCCTGTCTTTACTGACTGACTTTTGATTTTGTGTTTTAACACTCTACTACTATTTTCACATTACTGTAATACTGTACAATCTGTACAAACATATGCCTGGGGCCAAATGCAAGAAGGCTACCATGTATAATAGTTAACACACACACACAAGATAAATCAGATATCATTTTAAGTAAAGAAAAAAAAGTGTCCTTATTTGAATTTTGTTGTACCATGGACATTAAATAACAGACAGATGGCACTAAAATACTGCACCAAAACCTAGTTATCTGATACATCTCATATTGCTAAAGACAAAACTCCCTTATTCTGTGGTCATCAAGTGTCCAGGGTTTTCAGAGTCTGGAGTGATTGTGAAATATGTAAAACAGGACATTTGAGGTCATGTGGTAAGTGAAACACTGAAACAGTTTCAACACTCTTAGTCATTGTTATGACGGCAGACATACTGAACTGATTAAGGCTATAACAAACAGCTAGTAAATGACAATGATTGCAATTTTCCACCCTTAAAACAGCCACATCACTTTAAGCAAAGACAAGAAGGAACAATAACTATATTATCACATCAAATATCTACAGTGCATTATTGTGGTTGGTTTATCTGTTCACTACTTTAATATGTGAGAGATACAGTTTTAATTTGATTGACAATAAGTCCTTACTTAATTTCCTCCTGACACTTTCATACAAGTGTTAACAAAGGAGAGCATCTCAGACAAAGGTCAACTCATGAATAAGTTAATGTGTATACAAAATAAACAGATCTCTTACACCTCTGTACCTGGCACACTGTTCACTGCAATTCATTTTTACATAAATTTCAGTATCATGTGAAAACCTGTGTGTGGGTTACTTTATTGAACAAGTTTTTAATCTCCTTCCAGAGGAGATAGTAAATGAACGTGTTTCTAACAGGAATGTGTGTACGCTTCATGTCTGGGGGGATTGTTGAGCCAGTCCGGACATGTTCCCGTCATGGGCAGCTCTGCTCGCGGTAACTTACCTGGGCAAACTTCTAAAAGCTGTTGCACAATAAGGAATATCTCGGGAAATATGAGAACGGTTCACACCTGACTCTGTACACATTCACCAGAACTTTACACTAACTGTGGTTTGACTTGAAGCTAGCGTTACGGTAGCGGGCTTATTTAGCTAATAAATTATGCAGCTAGCGGCGGCTGTGAGCCAAGACACACGACGTTCATGTAAGACAGAAAGATGGTACATACCTGTACGAATTAACCCGCCAAGGTGAGGTCAGAGCCGCTCCGCTTTTACATTCACTTTCGGTATCGTTACAACAAAAAGTGTCGCTTTGGCTAACCAGTGCCAGCTAACTGAGTGACCATCTGGTTTACTACTCATCAATCTCATTGGTTTCCACAGTAACAAAGCGAGGCGTGGTCATAGGGGCACGTAAATCACGTCATCATCGTGCTCACCAACGGAAGGCGGGGAATGACAGTAACAGTAGGGAATGACAGTAACAGTGGGGTACTTACTACAACAGGATATCCATGAGTTAGTAGGTAGATCCCGGTGGTAAAAAAAATATTAATACTAAATCTAACTTTTTGCAATTATTTTATGTAAAAAAAGTAATTAGAAAAGAGTCATTTTGTGTCATACTTTAAATAGGCTTCATAGACGTTTTTAAAACAGACACGACCTGTGAGACAACAATAATTGCAGTGAAGTCACAGATGAAAAGGATGATCCAATGAAATTATATATATATATATATATATATATATATATATATATATATATATATATATATTTATATATTCCCCCATTCTTTGACATCCTCTACCTCAGTGTTTTTCAACCTTTTTTGAGCCATGGTACATTTTTTCCATAGAAAAAAATCACAAGACACACCAAAAACCAAAAATATTACTATACGACACTTGGTAGCCCACAAATACAGTTTATACAATGACAATATAGTCTCTTAATTTATTCATACTCCCCCAGAGTGAAACCTGGGTCTGTAGATTACAGCACAGACACTTGAGAATTGCATGTTATTTGCAGACAATAAGTAATAAAAAAAAATAGATCAATAAAGTGAAATTGGATAATTTCTCAGGGTACACCTGACGATCTGTCATGGCACACTACTGTGCCATGGCATACTGGTTGAAAAACACTGCTCTACCTGGTGTAAAATATGGCCTGAGTCTCAAATTGGGAAAGCACAGCATCAATGTATGAAGTTAGGCTACTTGCTTGACCGCTCCTTCATTCAGTCTCCAATTTTCTGCATTAAACTGCACATATTTAGGGACATGTATTACAACAAAGAGAGGTCAGAAGGATTTATGTGACAAAAAGGCTTAAGTTTAAGTGGTGGGAGCTATAAAATTAAACTTTTATATGATTAAACAATATTGAAATATATTAAACAGCCCAAAAATCTAGATTATGCTTTCTCTCCTGGTCCAAGGAGCCTCAAGTGCAACAGTTTTAAAATCTGAGGTGTCTGACTATTTGTAATGGAGTGCAATGTTGCCCTCTGCTGCACAAATATGGAAGTTAATCTGTGCCATCTGATTTAGAATTTGAATTTCTAATTTCTAATTTCTTTCTTTTTGCATCAAAATCCGACTTTGAATTTCAAAACCATCAAATTTCAAGCACGCATTTTTATTTCCTACATTTTTTTCCTACAATGATGAAATAAATTCAGTGTAAAAAAAATCGGTCTTTCAAAATATTTGTGTAGTTAAAATTCAACTTTAAAAGAACTGTAAAACAAAATAATTTTTTTACACAGTTTTTTTTTAGTTGAATTTCACTGAACAAATCTTTCAAGGGACTGATTTTTTTACACTGGATTTATTTTATCATTGTGGAAAAAAATAAGTGTCAGAAATAAAAATGCATGCTTGAAATTCAATAGTTTTTAAATTCTGTTTTGATGCAAAAAAAAAATCAGCTTTAGAAAATCAAATCTAAAATCAGATGGCACAGATTTACTTCCATACACAAAATGCTGATCATTCGTCAATGAAAATACCTTTTCGCAGTGTCTCCTGACTTTGGCACCAAGGAGAGGTTGTCTTCACTTAAAATAAAAAGTGACCATGTTGCATTGATTATTTTGAGTATGTTATCACATTACATTGTAAGCTATGCTTAATGACAAGGAGAAATCAAAAGACCTCAAAAAACAAACTGACTCAAGCTTACCTGTTTTGTAGTGGTGAAGGTCTCTGCCTTTCAATAATAGATCCTGGGTTCAAATCCAGGGCTGCCCATGTGAGTCACAAAAGAACCCTTTCCTCAAATGCTGTTTAAGAAGTGCTTTTAAAGAAGCACAATTAAATAGTAAAACGAAAAGAAAAAAATGAGTTTGGACCAGCAGGGGCCAGTTACACACATGTTCGACCAGCAAGGACTGTCAATTATTTTCACACCCCATGAGCTTGAAAACTTGACAGAAGTTCACAGAACTCAAAAAATTCATTTTAAGATCAAGTTGTGACATGTTGCTGTTCTAAGAGTCAGAATAATAATGTCTTAAATCGGCTTTGACAAAATTAGTTCTTTAAGCTGACACAACTTAAAATATTATGTATTGCTGACAAAAAGTAAGAATCCTCATTCACAGTGTTGGAATGTTGAGCTGAGTTTTACTACTGTATGTGTATATACAAATTTCTCAGCCTTCATACAATCTGTATCTCCTTTTGTCATTGTCAGGACTCTTTTTCACAGGGTTTGCCAAATTACAAGTCAAAGTTATCTGATCCTTCCCAGTATCATGTATTTTATTGTCATTTGCTTACTGTATCATCAATTAGGGATAATAACTTACAAAAAAAAAGTCATACGAATGTCTCTTGAAACAACGGCTGTGTTTGATTGCAGTCAAAAACGACCTTTTGACGATGTTGTAGTTCATTTTAGTCGTCTAACTGTATTTTACTCAGCTTTGTTGCAAGATTTCCTTTAGGTGCATCATTACTATAAAGTCAGCAATGTGTCTTAATCCCGAGCTTTTTGCAGTGTGCCATCGAAGACTGATCAATGCTGAGTTTAGATTTATCAGCCCATTTGCAGCTGTGCCCTCTCAGCTTTCAGTTCCCTTCACTCTAGGTTAGCAGATTTACAGAGTGTGGTTCTTCCCTACGATGTCTCTCTGCAGTGAAGCAGGAATCTTGGTCATCATGATCACATCCCTGGTGATAGCGTTGGCTGTCCCCCCCGAGGCCTTGGAGCTGTGTTGCATGCTGATGATGTCACCGCTGGTCTGCTCGGGCTCTGCACGCCGGAAAATATTCCTCATGGTGGCCTGAGGGGGAAAGAGTGGTAAATTATTCAGTGAACCGATGAGTAAATGAGGGGATGAATGAGTGATGGATGGACAGATTGTAGCTGAAGGGAGAGGACACAAGTCTTACCTGAAAATTATTTGTAACAAAGCAGTACACGACAGGATCCATACAGCTATTCAAACTGCTCAGAGTGACAGTCAGGTGGTAAACAATCACATGATGAGGCAGGTCAGGGTAGAAGTAAACAACCACCTACAACATACACATAAAACTGGTATGAGATTGCTCACAATTCCTGTCATAACCATTTTAATCCCCTTTTCCCATGTCCTTTTACAATCTTGCCGGCTCTTATAGTCTGTCATCAGTTTGATGGCTAAAACACGATGATGATATATTTTAACAGTGTATCCCTCACTCACCTGTCTGATGTGAAACGGTGTGAAGCAGACTGTAAAGATGATGAGCACTGTGGTTAACAGCTGGACAGCCCTTCTCCTCCTGTCCCTGCAGAAAGACAGTTTAAACCACCACTGTGACATCCCATCAGCTATAAGCCTGCAGCGCTTTCAGGACTGCTAGTGTGAGATTTTTTCATTCTTGTCCATCTTTCCTGAATTTTGTCTCTTCTTTCTTAACAAAAGCACCTTGTTTATAGCCAGACCAGCATTTGTTTGCAGACTTCTTTCTTCTCATTCAGTGAACTGTAACTAGTGAATCAAAACGAAAATGTCAACATGGGGCCGAAGACTTTGTGAGCTCTACACACTGATTTCGAGGGAATAAAGAGGATTTTCTCTACTCATGCAGGAAATAATATATCTAACCCAAAGTTAGTGCTAAGGAGGGGCCAAATCTTTTCAGTAACCCTAAACTACTAAAGCCATGTAGGCTTTTCTCTTTTACAAATCAAAGTCTGGGGTCATGCCAAAAACAGCAGGAAAAGATTTGGCTCAATTTGGTGCATTAGGCTGCTGAAATACATTTAAAAAATGTAATGACACTTAATTCAAAATTTGATACGGCATGGGATGGATGTTGTCTAATTGTAAAAAGTGCAAGCAAACACATGTAAAGAAGAAGAGTGTATCTAATCAAGTTGTCATGTGTCTCAGTAACTTTTCTTAAAACACCACTGAGGGGCAGTACAACTCTGAAATATGGTTTGCAAGATTGGTAATGGAGAGTGACAGCAAGATGTTAAAATAGCCAAATGCTTACCGCAACAGATGCAAGTAAATGAGTGACATATGCCAGAAGTTCAGTGGCATGTGGTGTGGCCAACAGTATGCCACAAGGAGGCCAGTGGTATGTGCAAGTATAGAGTGGTGCCCCTGTTCATTCTTGTGTTTTTTCTTCTTATGTGCAACATATTGAGATTAAAGGGATATTCTGGCGTAAAATTAAGTTAGGGTCAAACACACCGTAACACCGAGTTAGACACCCCCTCGAGAGATGAATGTTGCCGACCTCTTGCTTCTCTAGTTATATCAACTTAAGTAATGACGACAGATAGCTCAACCAAAATGCCGCTCTATAGCCACAAATAATGCTCAGAACAACAGCTACCTTCATCAACAGTACATGTAGGGCCCGAGCCACAGCACTAGCCACCAAACATCTTTTTAGCTTTGCCTGATTTCTTTAGCAAAGAGACTAAACACAACTCAACTACTCTCTTCTCCAGCAGCCGCTTGTTTGCGGCAAGACCTCAGGCCAGTCCATTATCGACTGAGGCGGGGGTACAAGGCTCAAGAAAATACATTTATGATCATTACTTTATCATTTCCTTAAAGTAATATTCATCATATTAATCATTTTGCACTGCAGACGTGGTAGTTCTTCTGCCTTAGTGTCTCAGTCTGATTGCATTTCCATGAGGAAATGATCATAAATGTTCTTTCTTGAGCTGTGTCACCCCGCTGCAGTCGATGGACTCGCCTGGAGGTCTCCGTACAAACAAGCGGCTGCTGGAAGAGAGTAGGTGAGTTGTGTTTTAGTCTCTTTGCTAAAGAAATCAGGCAAAGTTAAAAAGATGTTTGGTGGCTGGAACCCTATATGTACTGTTGATGAAGTTAGGTGCTGTTATGAGCATTATTTGTGGCTATAGAGTGGCGTTTTGGTTGAGCGCGTTGCTCTCTCTATTGCTAACGGCGGTCATTTGTAAACTAGAGAAGCAAGTTGTCAGCAACATTTATCTCTCGATGGGGTATCTAACTCTGTGTTATGGTGTGTTTGACCCTAACTTGATTTTACGCCGGAATATTCCCTTTAACTCAAAAATGGACGTCTTTCTTGTTCATCTTTCATGTGAATTGACTGTATGGTTATTTGGTACTTCCTTTAGTGGTCTCATAAAAGTAACAAAGCTTTGGTCAGTAGTTAGCAGTCAGGACATGATCATCATTCACTGCAGCCCAACACCTATGCTAACCATACTGTGAGTAAATATGACGACCCAAACATTGCCAACGTTTACTTTTACTGGCTACAGAGGCTACCAGGTAAAGTACCAAACAGTGACCATGTAGGTCACTAATGCCAACAGATCAGTGAATGTTGTATGTCCAAGCTTGTGTCCCAATATCAAAACATGTTTTTTACCTGCTTTGCTGCATTAGACGAGGGTCAGCCAGTGCCCACATGATCCTCAATGTGAAGACCACAATGATGATGAGCGGTAGGAAGAACTCAAAGATGGTGAGGAAGAGGAGCTTAGAGAGGCAGCAGCCAGGATGCTGAAATGCCGTGGAGAGGAAGGAGTACGTGACCACGATTGCAAAGAGCCAGACAGAGACACACACACATTTAGCCACGCTGGAATTCCTCCACCGGCGCGAAGCTTCAACCTAGAGAGACAAAAGAAAACATGCAGACTAGAGTCACCTCTGGTTCAGGCAGGTGTATCTAGTAGGCTGTGAGGAGACAGCTAAGGCAGGAAAACCCACCTGCACAATGGCAAGATATCGGTCAACACATATGCAGGTGAGAAACAAGATGCTGCAGTACATGTTGACAAAGTAGCTGAAAATGTGCAGGTAGGAGCAGGTGAGACAGGCCCCTCCGCTGTAGTAGAGCAGGATACGAGTGGGCAGAGAGAGATTCACGAGGAGATCTGTCACTGCTAAGTTAATGGTGTAGATCACTGAGGTGGTCCTCTGCCTTGTGCGGAAACAGAAGACATAGAGAGCCACTGTGTTGAGCACCATGCCAACCTAAGGAGAGGAGAGAGAATAGGGCGCTTAAAGAAACTTTCATGGTCTATTTGAGTTTTCAAAGTCATATAAAAATAAAATAATATCTGCAAAAGTGCCTACCAAGAATATGAGGGAGTTTATGACCATAAGAGCAATCCAAAGGCCATAAAAGTCGTTGTAGAGCCCTTCGTCTAAATGAGCCAATCTTTGAAGATATGCTTCCATGCCACTTCTGTTACTGGGACTGGATATTACAGGGTTGATGGGAAATGAAGTATTGATGGAAAGCCAGGGCTCTGTGCTGTTAAATGTCATCATAATGGTGATGATGATGATGATAAAGATGATAATAATGATGATGATCCAGAGTTGGTGTTCAAACTGTCGGGCAAAAAACATGAAAATTTAGTCTGGTGGTGTGAAGTTTGTGTATTGTTGTCATTATTTGATGCTGTTCAGTGGCTGCAGGCGATTCCAGTGTGTCTCAGACAGCAGGGGAGGATAATACATCCAAAAACAAAGACACACATGTTGCAGAACATAATTTTTCAAATCACAATTCAGTCAAAGGCCAATTTCTAACATTTTAACTACAACAGCTCAAGTATTGTTCAGTAAAATATAACAACAATGTGCCTTTTAAACCTCATATTTGTCTTACCTGTAGTAATATTTGTCTTGTAAGTAACCATGTTTCCTAAATAAGCCTCTCTACCAACCTCACACTCTCAAACATTCACATACACTCCCCTGATGTCCACTTTCAGCTTTGTCTCAGTGAGCATGTTGCTGTTGGCCCCACTGAAAAAAGCTCCTCAAACCAATATCTGCTTACAATTGAGACTATTTATTTATAATACAGCTGCATTTATTTACACCCAAAGCAATCATCCACAAAGACCTTGGGTATATTTAGTTCAAGCTGTTTCATTAGGAATTTGAAGTATGCAGAGATTGAGTTTTACTGGATCAGAAACAGAAAGATGTCTGGAAAGCTTTCTGGAAAGGCTGTGAACTCTGCAGCTGGATTTCTCAATGCTGATACGACCTATTTGCATATATCATCTCTGGGGAAGATACCGAATCCTCATTGAAATTTGGATAAACACAGTGACTTTTGATTATCTGGGATAATTTGTGCATATGAGTGTAGATGAAAAGTGGTTAGGTTCACCGATATAGATCTACCTCTTTGTTTGAGTTGATCTGATACCTGTTCTAACTTTGGCAACCCCACTTGAATTAGATTTAACATGCATGTCTGATCCAGTATTACTGCCTAATAGATTAAGTTAAAATAAAAACCGACAACAGTTAAAAATGAAGATTATTCACCAGAAGAGCTAGACAATCAATAAAACACAACTCATCATCTTCAGGGTATTTAACTACGTCAACATCAAGTTCAAGTGATAATCTAGTACTGATCTGAGAAATCACGCAGAAAATAAGTGACCCTTTCCACTTGGTGTTTCCATCTGAGTAAACTAAATGCACAAATATAAAGAAGAATTTTCAAGGTTTAAGCACAGACAGCAGAGGGCAGTAATGACATACTACATATTGTACGTCTCAGTGGATTATATTGTAAGGGGCAGTGTGCTGCTTTTTCTCATAGGTGTTCCCTTGTCAGTTACTGCAGTTCATTAAGTAGCCAATTGCTGTGTCAGGACAGGACCTTTGGAGTCCATGAAGGACACCCATAATTATAACAGCATCATGGTGGTGAGTGTGAGAAGAGAAAGAAAAGACAGAATTTGAGAGTTTTATTACTAGGACAAGCACATGAACAGGGTAGTTATGGATAGTTCTGCTTTTTGGTGACTATACTTTCCCCTCTTATTGCCTATGTAACGCTTCAGCTGGCCTCATTACCAGTGTTTTTGTTCATTTACTTCCTTGGAGGTTTTTTAAAATACTTAAACCAGCAAGCAATAAGTAGTTAAAGTAGACAAGATCCCAAAGGTTCACTGATGGAGTCAAATATATAAATACAACTTGAAGCCAAACATCGCATCCTGAATTGTCTTGGGCTTGCTTACTCCTGTCTCCTTCCATGACAAATGTATGTTAATTGCTCATTTGAGTCCCGCACTAGAAGGATCTGAAGAGCCGAGCATAATGTGTTGTGTAGTCTCATTGCTCATAACAAATCTCTCACAGCAAAATAATCATCCCGCTGATGATGAAAGGCCAATGAGAATAACACGCTCAACTGAGGGTGAGGCATAAATAATGAGATTTATCTTCAACAAGAGCTGTCCAGCCACAGCACATTAAGACCACTGAAGGAAATGAATGTGCGTTTTCATAGTAACATCCCTCTGAAATTATTCAGCTTACTGGAGCTAGTTCATCATCATTAACAGTGCTAACTTGTGTGAAGGGTGTTGCTCCAGGGAAATTGTGTGTTAAACTACTTCAAATGTCTGCGCAGGAACAGGGAAAATGGCCAGCAATGGATGCAGGTCTTTCTCAGTGATGGATTATTACAGCGGGTCCTTAAGATAATGCGGGTCAGCAAGAACAGGTTTTGTTCATCGAGTGTATATACAGTCCATGGTTTTGTTAAAAAGAATGTATTTTGTTGTATAGTAAGGCAATATTCTAAACAGATGATTTGACTTTGCTTTATGTGCTTGCTTATTACAGGAATCAACGAGGAGTTTAATCCAAAGTAATGCAACACAATTCTCCAAGCACTGTTGTTTCCTGTCTTTGTCCTGGTCCATCATCTTCAAGACTAACAACAGTTTCTGCACTTCTTCACAGATTTTGCTCTCAGCTTAGGTTCAGCAACATAAAACGTGGTTTGCATGTGAGACAAAACAGCTCAGCTAGGTTTGGAAAAAAGCTTGAGTACAGGTGGCGCAAACCTTATTCTAGTTTTTTATTCACTGTGTCACTTAACGCTCCCAAACCTTGGCAAAGGTTCATATTTAGTAGTGGGTTATGGACATAGACTGTATATATTATGGACAACTTGGTCCCGCCTTCCGCCAGTATACAGATTTGAAACTGAAAAGCTCTCGCGGTATTTCCGCGATTTTACTCCACTTCCTGAAATCAACATTGCGCTGTCGCGTTGTTCGCACTTCACCATTTGCGCAGTAGCATTGTGCGCATTCGGCGGGAGAGTCGCTGTGATAATGCTCGGCTCTAACAGCGTATCCCCCGGGTGAGCTACGTAATCTTCGTACACCCATAGGCTGTATCAAGTGTCAATCATAGAAAACATGAACCCCCTAATAACTTTCAAAAACTGAGCTGTACAGAAAAAATGGACTTGAGCACAAACCAGTCTTACAGTAACTACATGTCAACACCGCAAGCAGGGGGGAGAAAAATTTATATTCTGTGTAATACATTTTTGAACTTTGTCCACAGCCCCATAAGGATGGCTGGTGGAGGCGGGATTTACGATCTATACTGCAGTCCATCACCAGAGTGTGCTGTTTTCTTGGAGTGGCTTCACCCATTGAGGAGGCAGATGGCGTCCATTCTATAAACAGTTTATGGTCATGGAATGTTAGCTTGCTAAGTAGCCAAACTCAAATGCATTAGCATCAGGGGGCTGGGTAAAGCCGGTGGTGGATCACACGAAGTAGATTTAAACTTCAGTACTCAAGTGTGTTTTTTAAAGTATAAATTCTTTACCTGAGTGATATTTTTTGGTTAAACTTCTGTTTACTTATAAAATCTTAATGACAAACATCATAATTTTGACCTTACTGCACTTCTATGAATGTGCTTGTTGCTCTCTACCTCTGCTTTGAAGTTTGGTGACTTTTTACTCCTTTCCTAAAATCTGAAACCAAAGACATTACAGTCGTGTGAGTGGCGTGTCTAAGAGGTGTTGCTGTACAACACTAGCATTATAGGTTTGCGGTTAAACTGTTAAAGCAACAGTGCATAACTGCCAGCCGCATTGTTGTAATAACACAGAAATCCTCTAGGGGGCGATAGAAGTGCCGCACTATAGCTTTAAATCCCATGTACAGAGGCCTCAGTCCCAGTGTAAGGCGTGGATTTAGTTCTTTGCCACACAACTATAAAACTAATTGTTTCCTCAAACTTCTGATGGAAATTCTTCCTTTCAAGTATGAGTGCATTGGTAGGGGTCATTTTTCAGAAAGCACTGAAGGTTTTATTATCCCAAACATTAAAAGACACAAACCAAAAAAAGAAAAAAAAAGGTTCAATACTGGAATAAACACTATGTTAGCTGAGATTTGAGTCTACACTGATAATAGGATATAATTTTTAATGCACCACTCTCTCCAATTGTTGCTCTTCCTCCTCCAACATCAAAGACTGCGCTGATGTAATGACTGTAAAGCGATACTGAGAGGAGAGCAGAGGGCCCAGAGGCCGATCACAAATAACACTGTGCAAATAAATTCCAGCAGCGTGGGAGCCCAATTTGGGTGGTACAGTGCATGTGAGTGTGTGTGTGTGTGTGTGTGTGTGTGTGTGTGTGTGTGTGTGTGTGTGTGTGTGTGTGTGTGTGTGACTAAGAGTGTGTGAAAAAGACAGGATAGGATATGAGAATACAGATCTCATGCTGTCCTGCATTAAAGCTTCAAAGAAAAAAAAAAACCCTGTCAGGCAAAAAAAGATGTTGCCACTGTAATTCCTATTTTTTAAAGCTCTAGTTGTAATTTTAGTCAAGATTTAAAGGAAACGTTCATACACTTACTTAAATGTTCAGGGATGGAGCATGATTGTTGCATCCCTGTGACTGTTTTATTTTGTGGTGAATATCTTTAATCTGTAACGTCTCTTGTTTTCTCTTTTTTAAATCTCCTGTGAGAAGTTTCAGGTTGGTTTTGAAACAAACTGATAGTAATGTCTGTTTAAGATCCAATAATGCGATTAACACTGCCAACAAGAGGAGGGACTATTTCTGTATTTTTCAATGTCTGAAACCAGTGGCAGGGGTAGGTGTCAGGAGTGTAGCCTAACCCTATATGATTCAAGAAAGATACTTGATGAGTGACACATTTGACGGTCAAAAGAGACCATGATGAGGTTAATTACATGTGTACAGGATTAAATCAGCAAAGACTGGCTTGTACACAGGGGGCGCCAAAATCAACGCAAAATGAAAGTTCCTCACAGGAGCTTTAACTTGACAATTTTGAACCTCTTGTTGTGCCCATATAGTGAAATTACCAGTTTTAGTGTTGGTTAAGTAAAGTTTTTACAACTTTTGGCATTTGAACATCCGCGTTTTTAGTGAAGATGAATAATGGCTATAACTTCATTTTTTACATTGTGGTTTGTAATACAAAATTCTGAGTCAAGACAGTTTTATAGCTCCCTTTTGGAAAAAGACAGAAACATTAGACTTACTGGAAACAGATCAAATCTCTGTTTGATGAAGTTGAATTATCCTCATGTCAATACCAATCCAAAAACCCCTGGTCAGTGTCCAAACTGGTCACAGTGGATCTTTTCCAGACCTGCGCACTTTTGTTTCATATCTGATTATCCACCTGCGTCAGTTGCTTGTCTGTCTG